CGCGATTGACGAGCCGCCGTCGAGATTGAATTGGCGCGGGATGATGTTTCTGAGAGAGCTGTTGCGGTGCGCGGAAGCTACGGATTATGCCCTGCGCGCGCATACGTAATGAGCCGCGCCTGTACTGAGGAAGCTCGAGGCTCAAAGCAACCTCACTTACGCGCAAGGCGATGACGAAGGAGAAAAGAAGTTGTAACGAGAACATTCGCTTCCATCCGTCGCATAGCATCCCGCCTAGGTGCAGAAAAGAGGGTGCAATTGCGTCAGAACTTTGGGACTTTGGAGCCCGAGTTAGTCATTCACTAGAAGGCAATGGTTCGCCCGGTGGCTTTGGCCTGCAACTTCCTTCACGAGATCACACGTGCCCCAGGCAGGCCAGGCAGAGATATCCGCAGCTTCCACTGATAACTCTGGTTTCACCTCTCCATCACACCCACAAGCCGGCAGCAAGGCTTTGCTTTGATGAGTCTTGTTTGTTGTGCGACAAGGAGTTGTTGACCTTGGCCCCATGCCTACTTGCGACAACTGAAAAGACTCCCCAGCCACGCAAACTGGCCATTGATGCCTATGGATGGATGCCTTTCTGCAGCGCCAGAAGAGGCGACGCAACCTCGTCCTTTCCGCAGCATTCCTCCGTCGTCTCCGGCCACCGATCACGTCCGTGATACACGCTCCTTCTTCTGCCGCTTCCGAACAAAGAAAACGTCCCCGGCGGCTGACCGGCGATGTGCCAGAAACTTTGACCAGCGCGCCAATCAGAGACTGTGGGCGCTGGGTTAGCGACTCTTCAGCACTGATCCCTGTTAGTCGGCACTTGTTGGTGGTGGTAGTGGGTGTTGGGGGCATGCTGCGCCCATCGCTCTGACCCTAGCGGTTCTCTTCTCTCCATGGATCAGTCGGGTCCGTCTGGCTCCTGGCTCCTCGATCCCGACCTGGTGTCTCGTTTCCTGTTTCGTTTCTGGTGCAGTGGTGTTGCAGAAGGAGACGCCACGAGCCCAACTCCACGGTCCACGGTCCACGGGCAGGGAATCTTGGTTGCCGACTGGTCGCCCGCCTGATGGGTCTGGATCCGGGAGCCATGTCAACGGTGCAGGAGGGATTCAGGGATTCCGGATTGACGACTTGCTGTTGCTTCCAGGCATCCTAACGTCGTGCATCTGCAACTTCTATTAATTCGCCTGCTCTGTATCATGATTGGCCCATCATCTCTCCCGTATCGATCCATACCGGCAGGGCTGCATTAAGGGGTACAGAATTGCAGGCAGTCTATTGTGTTAGTGAATCGAGCTGACTTTGCCTTGCAGGTCTTCTCGGCGCTATTATCACATCGATATTTCGGGTGCCGTCCATTCGCAACCCGGATGCCCCTTTCGAGAACGGCCATGCAGCGTCGTTGCATATCCCGCGCTTCGCATACAAACAAGTTACTTCTCTTACTCTGACAATACCTGGAAGTATTCGGAATTGGGTGCCACACTCTTATCCCCAATTCTCTTGCTGACAGCCACAACAGAGTGATCCCTGTCTCTCATAGGGCTGTGTCCGCAGTCGACCCCCGACCTTGGCAATGCTTGCCCACTTGCTTGCTTCTTGTTGTTGGCTCTCACTGGTTCCGGCCGAAGCTACGGTGCCTGGAAAAGGCGTTCATACAGTACGTATAATGACCACTTATACACCCTTCATAGCAATTCACACGACGTACGTATTGAAAGCTGATATGCATGTCTTGACATGACTACATACGGTTGACTCTTTTTCAAGCACAAGGGCTGCGGAAAAGTCGACGGATGATGTACTCAACAATCCTCGCTTGAAATCCTTATCGATCCTTTTCGGGGGTTATCATGGTTGCGTTGATGATCCAGATCGCCCGTGGCTCCCCTCCTTCACCAGAACGCCGGAAACTGGGTGGCCCATCAATCAGGCCTGGTACGCAGCATTTCGGTGCAACTGACATGCATCACACCACCCCTTGGGATAAAGACTATGGGCATGTACTGTACTGTGCCGCGCAGCACGTAGATGCTGGCCAGTCAGCACGCCCACACCAGCCACCGGTTGCTTGTCAAATGTGGAGGCAGCCCGCGTAGCCTTGCATTGGCGACTTAGCAGACACCAGTACTTCTTGTACCTTTCGCACAGTCTTCTGTACATCTACCTTAATGGGAATGCTGACATGTTTCGGTAGTTTTCTCAACCCCTGCCTCATATCTGGTTGACGACGGCGCTCCGATTGGGCCAGAGGTTCAGGGTTGCCTGGCGCTTCGACTATCTTGGGACGACGTCTGCACACTCGCCCGCCTCACGTGGGCTCTGAGTAACCAAATTGCTGACAAGGCCTCCCGTGGGTTGGGAACTGTGTAAGAGGATGCATCGGGATACGGGACCGACGAAACGACTCTGACAAGCGTCAATGTCTGTTGTACAGAGAATCGCTCAAGTATCAGCGGGAACAACTATTCAGGACAAGTATCGACATCGGTTACCCAAGCCTCGGCCCCTGACGGATCTTTTGCTGCAAGCTGTCAAAGTTCGATTATTAACTTCAACACCATGTAATTCTACCACTGTACCCACACCAACTGCGGTCCGTTGCCGTTCACATGTCTCACCCAGCAGACACCCTTGAAAAGGAGAGAAGCCAATCGATCCTAATCCAGGAGGGCCTTGTCTCAGATACCCAATTTCAGTGTCGTTTCTCCTGGGCGAGAGATGGTGGTGGTAAGGATCCGCATTTCTGACAGGGCCTGCAGGTCTGACTTTCGGCCGACCCCAGGGTCAAGCATGAACCGTTTCTAAAGAAAGGTACAGGTTGTGCAGACTGGTAGTGTGAGCACAAAGAGTCATGTCTAATCAGGCATCAGAAACCGCCCGGAAACGAAAGATGTGCATGCAGGCAAAGAAGGAGACTAACCCAGTCAGCAACTGGTCGGCCGAGCGCTCCATCTGAACAACAACCTTTGAGAGGCCGAGACAGAGATAGACGGGGCAGGACGTGAGCACAGACAAGAAAGATGGAGGGGCAGTTGATGTTTGGTTTGTCGCGTTCACTGATGACTCTGCCTATCTCTGCCTAAGGGAATTGGATGCAGGGAGAGTTAGGAACGTGAGAGACGGTAACCCCGTGATCTTTTGCGCAGCAACCCCGTGGTCACCCCAAGTTAACAAACACCATCAGCATCGTCACCACCGTCATGGGGATGCCCACCACCACGACCGAGTATGTACAAACTCGCGCCCTTGACTGACAAACAGACAGACAGTCTACAGTATGACCATCGTCATGGAGGGTTGAATCTATGTTCAATGACCTCACACGCCTGTTCCACAAACCGATTACAAGCCTACAGCCTCGCCCAAGAAGACAAGGCCCATCTGCGGGGGAGTGGGGCCGATGCCCTGTTGATCGGAGTAGGCCAATCACCGGCCGCCCGCGCCACGGTCCTCCGCCGGCTGCGCCTCCCGCCGTGGCTTGCCCCGTTATTCGTCTCCGCCGGCGACTCCGAGAATCTCGACGACTTACATTGTTCCCCCCCGGCTGCATCATCTCGAGACGGCTTCCCAATTCCCATTCTTTTCCTCATCCGTGTTGTTGCAGTAGCTCTCGGTCAATGGGGATTAGGCGCTCGCTGCAACTCTGTGGCCCCAGCCGTTAGGCGTACCGGTGATCCACGACTCCGTCAGCAGGCAGATCTGCCTTGGGGAGTCATTCACTCTCGGGAAGCGAGATGCTTCATCATACGTGCGTGCGTACGTACACAAGCCGTCAGACTCAATACTCGGCCGGACCCGGTTTTAACCTTGCGACCGGGCAAGCCTCTTGTTCGCTTGTTTGCCAATGACAGTCCTTGGTCTGCACCAACCGGCTTGGTGGTTGAAACTCAGGGACAAGGGCGTCAGGCGTCTGGACTCCTTTGACGCCGCGGCTGTTGCTCATTGTCGTTGAGGCTCCACACGCAACCTCTCCCTCCCTTTCTGCCCTTACTCAACGCCTTGAAAGATACATCCGCTTGCAGTTAGCAACCGCGCGCGCACCCCTTAGTCTCCCCCAAGCCAGACTTGCCGCCGCCAGGCAGACCTCGCGTCTCTTCCTTCACCCTTTTGCCGCTCCCGCAATCACATTCGGGATCTCCTCCCCCTTCCCTTCCGCGGTAGTCCGTGAACCGTTCGGGCGTGACAACTCGGGCGTGACAACTCGGGCGAGGCTGATATGCAAGTTCGGCGGTGATTCCTCGAAACTGTTCCATTCTTCGAAGCAGCACTTTTGACCATCGAATAAGCGTCTCACCTCCCACACTCCTCTCCCCTGATTCCCAACGTTTCGTCACTCAACGGCCCCCGTCATGAGATGTGGAGGCCTCAGTCACAACGGTGATGTACAGCATGGATGCCTTTGGTCTCGAATATTCCATTACGTGTAAAGCTGTCTTGATGCCTATACGGCACGCTGGTCCTGACCATTCGTTGATTGTCTGAGTGACATCACTCCCTCCTTCTTGTCAACCCCTAACTAGTTTCTATAGCCCTGTCCCCCCACGTCAACATCTATCGAATTGAAACCACCCTCAAAATCTTGTAATATACACCCTTTTCACAGAGTTGTAGCCCCAGTTCCAAGGCCTTGACTCACTTGGCCTTGCCGCATTGTACCACGGTTTTGCCTCCTGAGTATCAGCCGCAAGGCACCCACAGGGTGAGATGTCGTCAGTCATCATGTACGCTAGGCGATATGTTGTCGAAATGAATAGTCGAGAGAGAAAATAAGAAATGCCCCCCATGTCGCTAATCGCCCCCCTTCCTCCTCCTAGCCCCTTACAGCCCCCATGTCATTGTCGTGAAATCCACGCAGTAGTCGCCAGGTTATGGCAAAGTCGTTGAGCCGATTTAGGCTGTGTTCCAGTGGAATGTATCGATTACCCAAGTACGCACAAGGATCAAATCAAAATGCTCGACAGTACCAGAACTCCAATCATCATGAATAGACATCCCTGGCAACGGGACTAAGCTCGTCGACTCATAGCTGCCGTCGCGCCAGCTGCGGCCAGGTCCTGCTTGGCACTAACGCTCCTGCCCGCGGCTCGAGGCAAGCCGCTTGAGGTTTGGGCAAACCCAGCTGTACCGGCACTGGTCCTCTTGGTAGGAACGGCGCTGATAGGTCCCGTAGTCCCCGATGCTCTTCGTGGGCCGCCGGACACGGGCTTGTGAGGGCTGACTCCAGTTCGTAGGGACACAGCAGGCTTGACACCCGCACCAGGGGGTTCCGGAAGAGGTCGCGGAACCGAGATGGTGTTGTGTCGCTTCATTGGTGACGTTTCGCGAGTCGGCATTCGAGGCACGGGCATCTTACGCCCAGTAATGAACTCATGCCGGATAGCGTCCTCGGGTCTCAGTCGCCGTTCAGGGTCCCATCGGAGACAACGCGCCAGGAAGTCCAAAAAGACTTCGTCGTCACACTTGAGCACCTGTTGTAATGTCTTGGAAGAAGGCCGGCGCCTGCGGCCCTTGGACGAGACGGTCAGGCGAGGCTTGCCCATCGAGTCAAAGAATAGCTTCTTCCGGGTGCTCTTCTCAATTAGATGCTTTTCCGGAGGTCCAAACACCTCCATGATGCATGCCAGCTGCTCTTGCTCATTCTCTCCGGGGAAGATGGGCACTCCAGTGTAAAGCTCTGCCAGAATGCAACCAACACTCCACATGTCGATGGGCATACCGTAAGTCATACCAAGAATGACTTCAGGTGAACGGTAGAATCTCGACTGGATGTAGGTGTACACCTTCTCGTTTTCGAAACAACTGGAACCAAAATCGATAACCTTGATCTCTGAATGAAGGGGATGTCGTAAAAGAATGTTTTCAGGCTTCAAATCGCAATGGATGACCTTGTGCTGCTTGAGGAGGTTGAGAGAGCTGAGAATTTGCTTGGTGAAGCGTCGGATGATCCTGATCGAGAAACCACGGAAAGCGTGCGCCTTGATAAGCTCGTAGAGGTTCATGTCGAGCAGCTCAGTCGAAATACAAAGATGTCCACGGAAATAGAAACTTTGAGTGAAGTTGACCATGCTGTGCTTATTCTTGGGATCCTGTCATGAGTTAGCATTGAAATGTGGGATATCAACAGAGAAGTGAGCCAACTTACCCATTCGCGGAGCTTCTGAAGAATGTTGACTTCGACAAGAGCTTGCTGGTGGAATCTCTTCTTGTTCCTAATAATCTTGATGGCGACAAGGCCGCCCGTCTTGTGGTCGATGCACCGAACAACTTGTCCGAAACTTCCCTTTCCAAGAACATCAATGATTTCATACCGGTATGCAAGGTGGTCTCCAGGAACAATAGTGTAGTCGCCGCGCTCATCGTCGTAGCCAAAGTTAGGCGCATCCGACTGAAGATCTCCGACAACTTTGTGGGCATTCTGTGTTCCACAGAAATAGACATCGTTGTAGTCGACAATCTCTCCTCGTTCGTAAATATTGAGCATGGCGATGCGGATTGCCTCGTGCGAGCCAACGCGCTCCTTTGGCGTTGCACGCTTCCTGAGTGCGTCCAGCGTTCGTGCAGCAACCTCTGTCTCCTTGCGCCGGGAGCCCAGCTTGGCCATCTCCTCTTCGGCCGACAAGTCATCCTTGTCGAGTTCGGCAGTCCATGAATCCGCGCCCTTTACTGCTGCCGAGGAAGTTCGAGGTCGGAGAATCTTCTGCATGACCGAGGTGTTTCGGCCCACGGGCATGGTCGAGGGATCAACGACGGGCTTCTTCGTACCCCAGGACTCGCTCTTGGTCTTGTCATGGGACATGAAGGCATTGAGGCTTCCGCCCGAGCTCTTACGCCTCCTCGACTCCAGATAGCCACTGGAAGATTGTTTGATAGTGGGGCTTGGGCTGGCCTGCTTCATGCTGGATAGGTTGTTGAGAGTAGCCGAAATAGGAATCCTGGGGGGAGGCATAGACTCCTCTGGATGCTTGCCATTGGCCTTTTCGATAACGTCGGCAGGCGCATTGATGTTGCTCTTGGAGTTGTTTCGCTTCCAGGAAATGCTGAGTTTTCGTCGAATGGAACTCATCGATGATGGGGTTTGAGGTTCCTCCGAGACAGGTTCCGGCGGAGGAGACTTGGGGACGAATTGCTCCGTCTTTGGTGCCCGCGGCCCGGCGGGCTTATGGGGGACTCGATCTTGGAAAAGGTGGTCATCAAGTGTGGTGAAATCGGCACCGGTCTTGGATCTCTTCAAGAAGTTGTGCTCGGGACCTCCCTTGGGCAGAGAGGAGGACAGGAATGGTGACATGCTCTGCTTGTGATCAATCTCCCTGAAGGCAAGGGACGAGTCCGTGGAGCTGGCGTCAGGTGGTGTAGGTGTGAGATGTGTTTGATGGACTGAGCTGCTGCTCCTCAATGAAGGAAGTTCGGGGGTGTCACCGTGACGGCTCTTGGAGAAGAAAGAACTCTTGGACGCTGTCATCGGGGTCGTTGGTGTTTTTGGTAATTGCCGTGATGGCGGAGGGCTCAAGCTCCTCTCGACACTGCTGTGATCCTGCAACGCTGCTATCTTGTTAGCAGTTGGGGTACTCAATGGCCCCAAGCTAATAGGCGGTAGTCGCAAAGGCTGCAAATGTCTCTTGTTCGGCGGAGTAGCTTTGTTGTCTCCTTCGGCCGCGACGTGTGGTACATATGCACTTTTACGGGCGCTGGGCCTTCTTTGAACCTTAGTCGGTTCAGGGAACACAGGCATGGAAATGGTCCCAGTTGAGTTAGCGTTCATGCTCATTGCGTCCAAGTTGCTCAAAGCCGTCTTTTTCTTTTCCATGAAATAAGTGTCGGCTGGCGAGTCTTTTGGAGACTCGTACGCTTTGGGAATAGCGGGAACAGGAGGGACATCTTCTTCTTCGTCCGCAGGCATGGGGTTGTGAACAGTTGTATGTTTCGGAGCGGGTAGTCGTGATGTGGATGAGGATCCCGACATGCGATGCATGGATCCAGTCGATGTCCTCGCCGTGTTGAAGCTAAAGGCAGATGCGGCTGAGAGACCAGAGCTATAAGATTTGCGGTTGTTGAGATCCGGCGTGGTCCTTGATGAGGATGGTGTTGCAGAAGCCTTCCTTGGAATCATCGAGGGCGATTTGGACTCGGCCCGGTTCTCGACTTGGTTGTTCATCGACACTGGGGGTGGCGGCGGCGGGTTAGAGAGCTGATTCAAGCTCTGGGACTGCGGCATGATTGAAAGGCGCTTCATCCTCCGAGTATCGGTAGGACTAATAGTCCTGGCACCGAGACCAGTGGCGTGCGAGGAATGATGGGCACCGGGCATCATCGAGACTCGCTTGCTGCTTGAGGATGGAGTACTAAGACGACCACCGACGCGCGGCGACCGCGGGGTGAGCGTAGAGTGCCGGTTCTGCTCTGGGGTAAGAGTGTTACCGAAGCTGAGGTTTCCATGGCTTGGTCGTGGTGGAGGTTGCACCGACTTGGACTTGGCAGCCCTCGAGCTCGGGAAGCCTCTCGCGCTATCAAGCCATGATGAGTTACCATCCAAGGAGGCTCTAGCCGAACCAGTGGATGCCCCATCAGATAGGAGGCTGGGCCGCCTCTTCTGGGCGGTTCGAGGGCCAAAATCCGAATCGCCAATGATGCCAGGTCCTATCGACTTTCGAGGGGGCTTGGAAGCAACAGAGCTGGATACGGGAGGGTATTGGCTCTGTCGGCGAGCGCGGGCTGTTGGACCGTTGGCATGATCGACCCCTGAAGCAGAGATGTTATTGGATGCATGAGCAGGCTGTCTGTTCGAGTTGCTAGGTCTGCGCAGGAGCGAGCCTGATCGACCGGGACGTGTAGCGGACTGATTCGAGGGGCGAGCGGGAGAGGGGGCAGCTTGGGGCTTGGAAGACATATTGCTGTCATCTAAGCCACGGGCCTCGAGAATACTCCCCTCGCCGGTGGGAGAAGGAAATTGAGTGAGTTTGAACTCGGTCGAGGCGGACTCGATGCTGCTCTGGAGGTCGTCAAAGCTCACAGAGGGCAGGAAATCGAACGACGCGTTGGGATCGTTTAATTGACTAGTTTCCCCATCCCGACCGAAAGAAAAGAGAGAATGGTTGTTGGAGGCGGTTGCGCTGAGCATTGGAGCGTCGAAGGCGAGGCCAGGATTCGCGGTAGGAAGAGGTGGTCGATTCCGATGGCTAGGAGTTTTGCCCCTGTCACAAAGGGATCCAGGTCAGCTTTGCCATGTGCAAGGAGGCGGCGAGACGAGGGTCGGCGGCGACGATGATGCGTGCACAGGGCAACGACGACAGAGAAGGGCCGCCCAAGCAAGAGAGGATGTATGAGAAGAGACAACAAGAAGAACAAGAGGCTCACAATCGAGTTGGAGAAAAGTTGGCTGGTCGAGGCCCAGCAGGTGCCTTGTGCTCGCGGCTCATAGGGTCCGGTCGAGGGGCGTGGCTGGCAATGCGACGACGGAGGTGGATTTCACGGGGTCGGTCGCTAGCACAGACTCAGTCCGGTCAGGGAGCTGAGCGCATTCGAACGGCTACCTCATTCCGGGGCCGACAGAGACAACGACGGAAAGAGGAGAGCAAACAGCGGTAGGCGGACGGCAGGCGACAGATGTTTGATTGTGGGTAGTGTGTCCCGGGAAGGGGATGGTGAGATGGATGGGTTGGGGATGAGAAGAGCGTCGGTCGAGGATGGAGTCGTTGTTTTTCGGAAAAGAGGGATGGATGGTCTCTGCACTGCACTGGGTCTTGCCTTCCAATGGCGGATGGACCTGATGGATGCAGCCAGTGACTTGCGGCGGGCTCCAGGCTTGGGCACACGCTGCCAGAGGCGGGCACAGGCGGGCACAGGCAGCTCCGGAAGGGGGCATGGGGGCGACGCCATGGCAGGGAAGCATGGGAAGGAAGGCGCCTGAGAGGCTGCGATGGCGGAAGGCACCTCGAGAAAGGTACCTTGTGGGGCATGGAACGCCGATACCGCCAGTTGATTGGCGCCTGGACCAGGAGATTGGTCCCTGAATTGCGGATAGACGTGAAGGTCCATACCGCCAAGTTCCTCTTTTACCGCTATTCCATTCATTGCTAACTAAAGCAGGGCGCTCTGGCACTGGCACTCGATCAAGAGGGTCAGGTTCCTTACCTTGGTATGGTCGGTACCTGCCGGTCGCTGCATCAGCTGCCCGCAGCCCGAGGTACAGGTACAGGTACCTTCCCCGAACAATGCAACGTCCCCTTACTTTATTAGTCTCCCTCGAATCCACGATGCAGATATGAAAGGAACGTCAATCATGATCCAACTTGCACTTGGGGGAGATGAGACATGCCTGGATCACGATTCAGATGGATGCCATGCCCGGGCCCGTTCCGGACAAAGGCCACAATTGCCTTTACCGTCTTCTGCTCCCTCGTGCTCCTCCTCCTGGCTCCCCAGCCATGCCATGCCCGCAGCCCAGCCGTGCGTGCCCAGCCCAGCCAGCCGCTCATTGTCTCAACGCGTCCAGTCCAGTCCAACAGCAAGCGGGCTCCAGTTGAGCCACGCCGATAGCGACAGGCGACAGCGGTGATATTGGGTAGGGGTCCTCCTGCGTGCAGTGGAGACGGCGGCGACAGGAGCGAGCGATGCAACTGTCAACACCGCTGTCTGTTGACGCATCAACGCCAAATGGGAGAATGGCATTGGAGCTAAAAGGTAGCTTGCTTCCCGAAACGAATCGCCGCCCGTTTCGATATGTCCCGTTTCGAAACCAGGGTCGGAACTCTCCTTTTGGTGGACATCCTCTTCAAGCATGCCGCTCAGACCGGGATATCAAGCGGCGAATACGGGGGTGTCGGTCGCGCGTCTCACATTTCAAGGACCCTGAGCCATGCCATGCCATGGCAGGCAGTTTGGGCATCATCAACCGGCAAGGTCAAACGGATGCTCTCTGTTTTCGAACAAGGCACTTCCATCAGTCCCGGCCCAATAGAGCCGGCGTGCCATCAATGGTGTTGTCAGTCTGCATTGTTGGCCCGCCAAACATCAAGGATGATGCTGTGTTTGGACGTGTATTGTTGTTTTTCGCCGCCTGCGGCATCCATTCAGGGCCATGATCCATCAGACCAACAGACGAGTACCCCCGCAGCCGGCCGCATCTCTTTGATGCAGGAGACCAGATGGCCAATCTGGCATCTGGAATCTGTGGCCGGCCGTCGCCAAGGGCAATCAACCTCATAGCCCGCATCGTGGTGAAGCTCCTTTGTTTATCTCGCCGTCGAATCCTGCCCGCACACGAGATTGACAGATGGCTATCTGCGGCGAGCACTTTATGGGTATGTAGGTATCATCCCCAGTCCTGCAATAGACAAAAACTAGTAGGTGCCGAAATGAAGAGGGCCTATGCTTGATTCATGTGGGCTCGCTAGGAAACGCTCTTTGAAGGTAAGACAAGCAACTGGAACAGTCCGCATGCAGAAGCCAGTCAGCGCAAGCACGTATACAGGCGTCAACACAACCCCTATTCCTCGGCCAGCAAACTCGTATCACGGCCTCATGACCAAGTCACCAAATGAGGCAATCTATCAACCAAAGTCTTTCCTCAAGGAGCAGCACAAGTTGGAGGCGCCACGGCCCGCATGGCGCTACTGTAAACTTTGAATCATGGAGGGTGGGCAGCCATGATCACCAAGAAGCTGGAGTTGCTTTTGAGTAGGATCAGCACGTGTTGAATAACGGTCCCTACGGCCAGGTGATAGTTGACTTCAAGAAAGACAGCAATACACCACGGCCATACGATTTTGATAACTATTCTACACTCATTCTGAATTATCATCATGATACTACATTAATGTTTCAATATTCAAGATATTTCACACCCGGCCATGTCCGCAATAAGCCAAATTCTCACCTTTTGGCGACCCTCGGCACACATGTCCTTCCTTTTGGGAGCTACACTTTCCCGGCAGTCTGGTGATGTCAGCGCCCAGTGTCACATGCACACCCGTCGTGATGGTGACACCTCCACGCGGGAACCCCATCTTCAAACCTCCACACTCCGACGTTGCACCATGTCTTGAGCTCTAGCTCGGCCCATCCTTCAATGGACGACTTCACCACCGAGATCATCGCCTCCGGGCGCGCCTTTGACTCCCCGGAGAGCCCCGAGCGCCATCGCCGCGTCAGTGCCGGCAGCCATGATGAGGAGCCGGTCGTTGAGGCCGAGGCGACGACTCCGGCGCCTCCCCAGAAGACGGGTTTGCGCGGCGGGCTTGCAGCTATTCGACAGAAAGCCAGCCTGCAGGATCGTTTGGTTGAAAAGTTTGTTGTGCTCTAGCTTTTGCTCTCTCATGGCTTGCTAACCATGTCCTCCAGGCTCCTTCAGCAAGTCATCCCAGCGGACAAAGATGATCCCAACGACGTCGCCTTTGCTGCCGACGACCATGCGCCTACGCAGACCGAGAGGCCCAACTTCAATATCACCACCATGTCCTACAACTTTCGCCGCTTCAATGCTCGCATCGGTGTCGTCTTCAAATTCCAGGCCCGAGTCGGGCGCATCCTCTGCTGGCATCGCGCATCCCATACGCTCTCTCTTCTCGCCGTATACACCTTTGTATGCCTCGATCCATACCTCCTCTGTGTTCTACCTGTTGCAATACTGTTGCTCGGCGTCTTTATCCCTGCGTTCTTGGCACGTCACCCAGCACCTCCCAAAGGCACATTGTCGAGCGAGCAGAATGTTGGCTACTCTCCGCGTGGACCACCTTTGGCACCTGCAGCAACTGTTAAACCCGTGAAGGAACTTAGCAAGGACTTCTTTCGGAATATGCGCGACCTGCAGAACAGCATGGATGACTTTAGCGAGGGGCACGACAAGGTTGTTGCGTTTCTTGTGCCGGTGACCAACTTCAGTGATGAGGCTCTCAGTTCCGCCCTCTTTCTATTCCTATTTGCGGGTGGCATCTTCATGACTATTGCGGCTCAGTTGATCCCATGGAGGTTCGTGTTCCTCCTCGGTGGTTGGGCTGTTATCGGCATGGGCCATCCATATGTTGCTCGTCTTCTTGCTGTCGCCCATCGCGAACGACTTCAGCCGCAGGAGGCCAAGGCTCGATCATGGCTTGACGACTGGATAGCTAAGGATGTGATCCTCGACTCAAGCCCTGAGACTCGCGAGGTCGAGATCTTTGAGTTGCAGCGCAAGATAGCTGGTGGTAGTGGCGAGTGGGAGCCCTGGCTCTTTTGCCCGTCTCCTTACGACCCGCTCTCACAACCACGTATCGCCGGCGAGCGACCCAGGGGCACACGATTCTTCGAGGATGTTATGCCCCCGGAAGCTTGGGAGTGGAGTGAGAAGAAGTGGGCTCTCGACCTTTGGAGCCGTGAATGGGTTGAGGAGCGCATCATCACAGGTGTTGAAGTCGAGACAGAAGGTGAGCGTTGGGTTTACGATATCTACGATGAGAGGGATGAGCGAACAGGGGTTGTAGATCCTCCAATTCATGACAAAGGGAAGCAAAAGGCTGCTGCGGCCAAGCCGAGCTGGGAAGAGGGCGAGGATGGCAGTGGAAGGAGAGGGGACTGGAGACGGCGACGATGGGTGCGGTTGGTGAAGCGCAAGGCAGCGCCAGTGCAACCCGTCTAAAAAGGCCAGTTCTTTCATGTAAAACCAATGGAGTCTTGCGTATTTAGGATCGTTTCTGCGTGGCGTTGACGGGTCTGGGGTGACGGACAGGATAACAACGACAACATACCTGCTCGGATGCAGCATTATGAATGAGTCACGGTCGGGGACAGAGACACTCATGAAATGAATCATTGATGGTTAATATATTCCAGAATCTGAGCTATACGCTCCATGACAGAAAAGCGCCATGAGCCAGGAGATAATCCAACATTGACTGTTACAACAATTTCAAGTGGCCGGTGCTGCTCGCCATCAGCGAGCCCAGGTTGGTATCATGCCGTTCAGACTCCCTCCCTCCGTAATAGATCTCTGTACAATCAATCGTTCATCAGACATCCCTCCCGACGCCGGCCAGAACATTCTATATGCGCTCCACTTCATAAGACATTAAACCTGACTATGACTAGAAAAGTTGGTGGGTGTTGAGAAACTCGAAAGAAGCGCGACGGGTTGAGACTGAGGCCTAGGGGATGACCATCTTGTCTAGGATCTTTTGGATGCCCTTTGTGTACCCACGGCCCTGGTCGATTTCGTCGGTCATCTTACGGGCGCGCTCAATGAGAATTCCAACTACATTGCGGGTGTACTCAAAGCTACCGGTTGACTCCATGTAAGCGACAGCATAGCGCTTGACCTGGATATCGGACGTCTTTTGCTTGAGAATATTGACAAGCTGGAGGTTTGTCGGGTTGGAGCGGATGCTGTGGATAACTGGGAAGGAAAGCTTTCCCTCAGTAAGATCCTCGCACATGCCCTTGTTGTGACTATACTCCTTGGACGACAGGTTCATGTAGTCGTCACGGATCTGGAAGATGAGTCCGATGAGGTTGACAAGAGGTACACAATCAGTAGGCACCGACGACTCGGCAGCCATGAGCTTAATCCCAAGGCGAAATAGACCACCCGTCTTGTTGCCCACCATCTCGAGGTAGTCCTCCTCGGTGGGGCAGGTGAGTGTGTCGCGCCAGAACAGGTCCATGCCCTGCCCCCGGTGGAGGTTTACGAGCTCCTCGGAGAAGACGGTGATGAGGTCCGGGTTGTTGAGGCGGTGCAGCTCCTGCAGGGCGATAAAGTAGATGTAGTTTGCCGAGTTGATGGTCTGCGCGACGCCAAAGATGTTGTGCGCCACGGGGAACCCGCGGCGCAGCTCCGACGAGTCCTGCACGTCGTCGATGAGCAGCGACGACTCGTGGAGCATGCCCACCACGCGCGTGATGACATCGAGGCTCTCCTGGGGCACGTCTAGCCAGGCGTTGAAGGCGTTGATGAGCTGCGCCCTGAAATCCTTGCCCGGGTGGCTGATGACATAGTCGTAAGGGCCGCGGACAACCTGTTCCTTATCGTCGGTCCAGGTCCGCTTGGCTGTAAAGTTGAGGTCCTCGTAGGCGTAGCGCTCGGGGTCAGGAGGTGGGTTCGGGGCCTGCATCATGACGCCAAAGCCCGGGTTCGGGGCGGTCGATCTTGGAGAGCGCTGCTTCTGGCTGAGCCAGTCTCCTTCTGCGACAGGCCGAAGGACAGGTTTGGTGGGAGTCGAGTTGAGCGAGGTCGGGACGCCGGTGCTCGAGGTGCGAGGGGGGATGGCGTTGGGGGAGGTGAGAGGGGGGTTGTTGTTGTTGGAAGGCATCTTCTCCATGTCTCTGGGCGACAGGGACAGCATGTGCAGGGTCGACGGGGGGAGAGCCCAGGAGTCGGAAGAGAAGCTCGGATCGGCCGTGGGGATCATGCGTTCAGCGTTTGAAAAGTGCAACGGTGTGTGTGAGGCTGAGTCGGGGGTGAAAGGTGGCGAGACGGGGAAGTATAAGCGTTGGGTAGATATCGATCTCGTGTGGATGTCGGATGCCTGGTGTCTTGTTGAGAGTTTGTCGTGTGGGCTGCGCCTTGTGTCTAGGCAGCTCTATTTAAGTTGTCGGGAGAGGGTATATCGGATGAATCGAATAGCTGAGACCTGTAGCAAAAAGTCCACGTCATTGAGCGTCCCGAACCAAGTTCAGTTCTCCCTGATGCAAAGGCATAGAGGCGGGCATGTGCGCGAGGCAGCACAGGTAGCCCAAGATAATATACATGCATATGCAACCGAGAAGGTTGAGGGGCAGAAGGGCTTGTCCTAAGCTAAGCTCCATACGAGGGTACGTGTTCGTCCTACGCAACAAGACCTTTTCGTCACGAGCTAATGCAAAGGAGCTAGCGGCACGGCGGGCCAGGCGGGTAAGGTAGGTGGACTGTGGGGGAGAAGGTCTTTTGACGCCCAGGAGCAGTCACAAAGTCCTGCAGGCCAGAGGTCACGTTGGTGTAGCGTACCTTTTTAAGGCAAAAAGCTTGTGATAATCCGGGGTATGGCGGTTATTACGGAGAGACAAATTGAACGAAGCTAGACGTTGGGAGATGATGGGTATCTGCTGAAATGCGCATGTCAACCTTTTTTTCTATGAGACAAGATAAGGACCAGTTCCGACTTGGAATGCAGTTGCGACAGCGATGAAGTTTAGAGGACATGCGCCGAGAAAGTATCCGATGATGGACAATGACGTTTCTCTCACGGAACCATCGGTTCAGCAGTTCCAGCCAGCCCCGACTGGGCATCGTCAGAGCTGAGCGCAATGTCACATAAACAAGCAACAGGCAGTCCGTTCTAAACCGCCAAGAAGCAGGGTGATGGGTTCCTTACCTCATTGGGTGCGCAATAGGGAGATGTATCGTGAGTATGAAAAGGATCTTGAGAAACAGAGTTTCAAAGCTGTCCACTACAGAAAAAAAAGTGCCAGTTGTCTCTTTATCTAATCTCGTGGGAGCTCATCTCACAATGAGGCGGCTGTTTGATCCGTTGGGACAAAAAACCACACCACCTCAGCCCACCGTGAGATCAGCCCTTACGAAGCCCATGTTTCGCCAACTGAGTTTAGACACGTCAAAGCTGGGGGACCTGGATCATGTCGTCCGTCACGAGACGTGGTGAATCAAAGGCGGTCGCGGGTAGGTAGATATTCTCAACTTACATTTTGTAGATGGACAAAAGTCGAGTTGTCACATGCAAAAACTGACTTTGCTGTGAGATAATCAACAAGGGGCCAAATCAACCACCTCAGAGCTTCCATCCCGCTTCCATCCTCCCGTCCAATCTGGAATTCATCCTGTCGGCCAGCTGCACCTTGAGATCCCACTAAGCCCATCAGCATCTGCTGTCGCTCTCCCACTGGCCAAACGTACTCTAGCGGCCCCCTCTCAGTGACGATCACAGCGATGGACAGAAGCCCCGCCACGACCCCCCTGGACCTCGTGCCCTGACAGCGGTTGAATTCCAGCCGTTGCCGTGGAGATGGGCTCTCCACACTTGAGTCCAGGGCTGTTTAGCTTCAGCTCAACACCACATCTGGATGCAACTCTTTCTTGATCTTCTTCTTCTTCTTCAGGTTTTCTGCTGCTGCTGCTTTGGGCTCGAGCCAACTCTCAGCGCTGCTTGATACCCAATTCCCTTCTCTTCGTTTAGTTATTCCTGGTTTTGTCCCATTTTCCGCCGTCTCGAGAAAAAAGAAAACAGTTATTCATCCACCAAAATATCTGCCCCATTTCCAACGTTTTTTTTTCTCTGTTCCTTTCTTCCATACTGGTGTTTCTACGCCCACGACATTCATTCTCACGCCAACCACACAAACAAACATGATGGAGTCACTTCTATCTCTCGCCTTCGATAACCTGTCGTCCTACGATGGCCCCAAGGTCCGCAAGGGCCTGCGCCAGGTTGAAGGTCTTCTCGCCCAGATCTGCCTCTCGAATCCCCGTAGCGACAACTCGCGCCGCAACCGTGACCACGAAAACAACGGAGAGGCGTCGCCTGAGCAAAAGGACCTCGCCGAACTATCCCAGGATCCCGCTTTTCAAGAGTTTTTCAAGTTGCAGGAGGGATTCGAGTGGAACGTTGCCATGCGCCTTATCGGCACTCTTGACCGTCTTATGGCTAAGGGCAGCGACGGACAGAATGATCTCTTGATCCTCAATGCCCTTGATCTCATTCAGGGAACTCTCCTGTTGCATCCCCCCAGCAAGTCGCTCTTCTCCCGGGAGCAGAATATGAACGTATGTGATATGAATCGTCTGAATGACAACAAGAGGACATCAACTGACATGTTTGTGCATAGCTTCTCCTCGATCTTCTTGAGCCCTTCAACTGCCCCGCTATCCAATGCGCGACTCTTCTCACCCTCGTCACCGCTCTCCTCGACACCCCCCGAAACACTCGCACCTTTGAGGGCCTTGATGGCCTTCTTACCATCACCTCACTCTTCAAGTCGCGCTCCACGGCCCGCGAGGTCAAGCTCAAGCTTGTCGAGTTCCTCTACTTCTATCTCATGCCCGAGTCACCATCCATCCCCCGCGCCGACCAGCGCGACTCTGTTCCTGGCATGCTTCAACGGAGCCCAAGCAAGCTTGCGGGCGCCTTTAACAACGAAGCCCGTCGCAAGCGATCTGGCTCCGATGCGGATGACGTTTATCTCACAACCGAAGAAAAGCAGGAGTTGCTTAGCCAACATCTGAGCAGTGTCGAGGAACTTGTCAAAGATCTTAGAAACTGTGCTCCCTTTGGAGGCGTCGTCTGCTAAACGCAGGCAGTCGGGCACAGGTGGACATGTTTCCTATTCCTTTGTTCTTCATTCCAGCACAGAAACGGCGTTGGGCGGCACCCGGATGGCTCATTTTTGTGTGTGTTTTTCTTCTTTACCTTTGGCGCGGAGTTTTGAGAGCAACAGAGTCGGAACACATTAATTTGTTTTTTGCTTTCTTTTGTAAGATATGGTACTGCGAGGGAGGATGTTGGATGACCTTTGATATTTGCCTGAATGGTCTGGCTAGGCGTTGACAAGTATGAAAAATATTAGAACGGTTCAGTTTTTTTCTCCTGAGTATCATGACTGTTTCGTGATAGGTTCTCTGGTTCTGGAGTTGGAGTTTGCCGTGGTGTTGGGACGATTGATAATGAACGGGCTGGCGATATTTGCTGGTCGTTGCCGTATAACTCAAAGCGTCCATCAATGGTCTCTGAACCGGGTGTATGTCCGGCACTCGGGCTACTCATTGGTGATAAGAAGCCACTGCCTTCTCTGGCCGTTGAATCAATCTCAACCGGCGCCGCAATATCGCCGGGCCCGTGGGCCTGTATCGGCACGGCTCGGTCCATGCCCGGCGAAGCAGCCGTCGTTGGGCTGATGGTCGGGTCCGTATACGGCCCAGCCACGGCATCGGGCCCGAAGTAGTCTCTCGTCAAGCCGTGCCGAGCTTGACTTCCGGATACGTCGGTCGTGCCATCCCGCACGGTGCCGGTACCCTCGCCATCACCTTCGCCTACAGTCCTCGATTCTCCGGTTGTGGTCTCCCGGCGTCGGCGCCGCTTAGCCAGACACAGCCAAGTGAGTCCGCCGATAATAATACTCGCTCCTACAACCGCGCCAACACCAATTCCAGCTTTAGCACCATCGGATAATCCATCACCTCCATCTTCATCCTCGTCAACAACTCTAACATCGCTCCCTGTCGGCCTGGCCTCGGCGCAGAATCCCTCCCCGCTAACCTGTGTACAAACCTGTCCGTCGTCGCAGCACCCAGCGCCGTCATCGCACCTGAACTGTGACGTGGTACAGCCCGAGGGCACGGGTGTCAGCAACCCGGTCTGGGAGGCGGGTTTTGTGGATGCGCATTTCCCGTCGGGCCTACACTCCGAGCCGAAACCGCAGCAATTACCGCCGAGATCGCTGGGGCACAGGTAGAGGCTCGTCTGGGGGCATTTCCGGTCGCAGCAGCCCTCCCGAGGGACGGCCGTCCCGCTCTGGGTGACGGTGCGTGTGCAAAAGTATTTACGAGTGGCGTCCGCGGAGCAGAGGTTCTCGCTGGCGCAGTTGGACCCGATCTGGCAGCATTTTGGATCGCCGTCTTTGTTGACGTAGCAGTATTGGTCATTTTTGCAGCAGTCGTCGCCGAAACCGATGTCTAGACCTGTCGCGCGAGGACATGAGTTGATTGTCAATCAGCATGTTGCGCTGTTCAAGGACTTACAGTTGTGATAACCTTGTCCGCAGTCTGCGTCGCGCTTCGCGAGGGGAAATGCCTGGTCGAGGAAGAAGCGCGGGACGAGGTCGCCCTGAGCGATGGGAAGCGCCTCATAGCGCCTGACGATTTGTGCGACGACGAGGTGAGGAAGCAGGACGAAGCTGGTGGGAACAAAGAGCCTCATGGTGAAGACAGCGCGCGCGACAACAACTTGAGAGAGGGGGTGGACTAATGCGCTTGGTTCATTGTCGCATCGCGCCGCTCGACTTGAAACTGACTTCAATCGCCGGCTGAAAGTATATTCAAAAGACAAAAAGTCGCTCAAGAAGGATGAACAATGAAAGAAATGCAGTGACGGAAACCTCGTCGGCACGAGGCTCCCGCAAGAGGATGAGTTGCCCATGCAGGTAAGACTCGGTAAACGGCGAAATACCCTGTATCAGGCCGAGTTGAGTGGTGTGTGCCTGTGATAGTAGCACAAAGGACCCTTTTTCTTTCTTTGGTGATTGACCAACCCCTCCAAGGGCCTTGCTCGCGTGGTGGTGCATTCATTGTTGTTCAGCCGTGAGTGGTAATCGGGAAACTCGGTGACAAGTGCTGACAATGAATGGGGACATGGACGCCCCAAGTGGGAAAGCACAACGAAAGAGTCAGGCCAGATAATTCCATTTTTTGCGAGGCTTGCTTTGCTCACAGACCGCATGTTCACGTCAAATAAGGTGAGAATCTGCATGGCTGAGTCGACGGGCTTATTCTTCTAGAGCCTTGTTGCTTGTAAGTTGATGAGACTTGTTGGTGGCGCAGAACAAAGGGTTCCAAAACGTCAGCCGCAGCAGTTAACTATCGCCCAAGAGGTAGCCATGATGCGAAGCTAAATAAACACATGGCAACCCTCGAATAATCACAGCCTATACACATAGTCTTGACCGCCATAGGAAGGTCAGCCACTAAGAAGCTTGCGTAAGGGTCAAGGGGTTTGAACGAGTCAGCACCAAGCACCATTTAGGAGAAGCGCCTTAGAGGAATGCAACCCTGTCACACACTGGAACTCTGCAGCTTAATTAACCTTTGACAAAGTTAAGTTAACCTTGAATATAAAGACTTTTAGTTTATATTAAAATGAATCGTTCGAGTCCAGCTCAAAATTCCTTTAAATTGTGTGTTTTGTTTTTTTATCCCTCATCTTAGCACTTGGACACGCGTTCCTGGGCGGCTAGTCTTAATCTCATCTGCCGTTCTGCTCTCCTGTCACGCCACATGTCTATCAGCTCCATCAGAATGAGGACTGTGAGCGGTAATTGCGCGACTCCCAAAACGATTGCTGCTTTGTCGGTGAACATGACGCTTGCCCAGCCGTCCCAGTGCTCGTAGACGAGATATGTTCGAAAGGCGTTGTACAATTGCCAGTTGAGGATCAGAAAGTATTGGATCAGTTCCCATGTTGATAATGTCGGGACCGAGTCGCCAAGCTCAAGACTTTCCACGTTGTCTGTCGGAGTCCATTGTGAGTATAAATGCGCTTCTCGAGTCCCAGGATGAATCGTACCGATAGTGTCTTGGCTGAATGTGTCGTCGCTCGCCAGCGAGCGGGATTTCTCGTTGCAAATCATAATGGGCGCTGTTGTGGCAGGCCTACGCCTTGATCGTCTCAATAGACAAAGAGTAGAAGAAAAAAGCCCCGTAAGGAGTGAGAGCTTTGACAATTGAAATGGAAGCAAACAAACAAGAGAGAGATAGTGAGTAGTATCAAGAAGAGAGTTCAGTTCAGAATTACAGAAGCGGGAGACAAACAAGGCACCTCAATTCCAATGCTAGTATTAATACAAGGCTGCTAAAGGGATGGGATAATGAGTGAGACGCGTTTCACCTTTATTGCCAAGGCCCTTGCCGCCGGTTCCTTGACATTCCCCTCGCGAGGGTCACTGTCACTGCTGGGGTTTCGCCATTCTAGTTAAATCCACTTGCAAGGGGATGGGGGGAGGGGTCAAGGTCAAGGGAAGGGAACAAATTTCGCCTCGTCGTCTGTAGATCATTTACCATCTCGCCATTTCTCCGCTTTAGCGCAGACGGGTGAATCTTGTCTTGTCTGGGGGGCGCCAAAGAGCCGCCCTCCTGACTGACTAACAAGTGGTGAGTTGGTATGTTGGACCCAACTCGTCACTGGTCATGCGTGGGAAAAGGAGAGATAGCCGCGCGTTGGTTGTTGATCATCATGTCGTATCTGTGTAAAAAAGAGACCGAACCTCCACATGTTTAAGCTTGCTCGCATGTCGTATACGTATCCAAATAAAGTACAACTCGTATCTTCTCCTCCCAGAACTCGTATCAATTCACATCATCTCTCCCTTTCCATCAAACTCCTCGTCTGCTTTGCCATGGTTCTGAACCCGCTGGCCGTGGTTGTGTACGTTGCATTGGCGGCTGCGGCGTTGAGAGGCAACAGTGGTCTTGGCGAAGACGTGGGTGCTGCTGTTGCTGGAGTACTACCGTCACTCCAAACCATGCTAGTTGTCGAAATCCTGGTGATAATGCTCTCCGTTAACAACGTAGCAGCAGTATCAATCCCTGACTCTTGAAAGCTTGTCGATTCCGAAGCTTCTGCCGTGCTTGGCACCATGCTCTGGGATATGTTTTCATCCGTGCTGGACCCAGAGTTCTCACTTGCAACTGTGGGTCCTTCATCTCCATTCAACGTCATATCCGGGTCCTCTTTAAACACTAGACCGGGGATTGTAGGGGACTCGGTGGGCTGACTGATATGAATGAATTCGGTGCGTGTTGTCGTCCACTTTACCCTCGATGATCTCTTAAGAACCGACGTGAAGACCAAAGTTCTAAGTTGCGGCGTCTCACGAGTTGTTGCATATTCTGTGAGAGTCTGTTGCACAGCCATGGCTGTGGTGAGAGTTGCCGGGGACTCAGTGGAAGCCGAAACTTGCGAATCATCAATGCTGGATGTGGCAGAGGTCGTGGTCGGTTGTTCTGTCGTTTGCTGCAAAGTTTCTGCTCTTCCGAGGCCGGAGACAGTTGGAGTGTCTGGTGCGGCCTGAGCGTCAAGCGTTGCCTGGGAGTCGGGCGCTGTTGGAATATCAGATGTTGTTCGTGTGTTGAGTTGTGCCTGAATGCTGATTGTCGTTTGAGCGTCGAATGTTGTCGGCGTGTTGAATGCCGCCTCAATGGCAAGTGTTTCCTCAGAGTTGAGTACCTCCTGAGTGCTGAGCATGACAAGAGAGTCGGGTGTCGTTTGAGTGTCGAATGCTGTCTGAATGTCAAGTGTTGTTTCAAAGTCTTGTACTCCTGGAGAGACGGGTGCTGCTGGAGACTCGAGAGTTGCCTCAGCGTTGATTGCTGTCTGTATTCCGAGCGCTGATTGGGCACCGAGCTCCGTTTGGACGCCGAGTGCTCTTTGGGTTGCTGAATCATGAGTTATCATGACTGAAGAGATCGGGCTCGGCTCGGTTGCGGACGAACTAACACCTGGAGCGCAGTTAATGTTTCGGCGAACGTTGGGTTGGCCACTCACCTCATCTTCAAGACAACTGGGGTCTATGGTTTGGGATGGCTGCTGGTCTTCTTCTGTTCCTGGGACCTGGGCTTGTCCTATGGAAGTTATCTCACCTGGACTAGAACCGGGAAGGTTGTCTGGGTCCTCCACGAATATGCCTCCAGGTAACCCACTAGGTTCTCCGTTGACCTGTCCATCGGGAAGAGCGCTGGTCTGGTCTTCTGACAGGTTGTTGGGAGATCCTGTAGGTTGAGTTCCTGGAACTGTACCAGAATGTAGTTCTGTCTGACCTTGGGGTTGCTGATTGGCTGTCTGAGCAGCGGGCTCGTCAAGCTGACCCGTGGGTTGATCGTCAAGCAGGCTGATGGATTGACCATTTGGCTGCACTCCGATCCGTTCCTCGGATGGCACCTTGGACTCGCCGGGCCCCCCTCCGGGTTGTCTGCGTAAGGACTCCTTTGGCTGCTGGGCTGATTCGACTCCAGATGGTCGAGCTTCTGGGCTACCAGGAGAAGCGTTGTTGGGATTCTCGCTTGGCAACTCGGTAGGAAGACTGGCTGGTGACCCATCTGAGTTTCCCGGTCGCTTACTGGCAACTGTATCTGCCTGGTCATCAGACTGTCCTTGTCCTGCTGGTCCTGGTTGCTCAGGGGCACTAGGCAGGTTGAAGGAACTGGAAGGTAGAGGCGCAACAACTGTATTGGGGATGTTGGGTTGTCCAGGCAGGTTGGATCTTATGTCGGTATCGGATACTATTGGGACCTTTGTTGGACCAGAAGTTTCACCAGAGTCGGGCAACCCAATCCTGTTAGGTTGGGCAGGCAACTCAGCTGGTAGGTTCTCATTGGAGGGTGTGTTAGAAGAACCACTGGGTAGTTGCCCAGACTCTCTGCTGGGCTGACCAACTCCTGGTTGAGAGGAGCCCTGATTTTGGGAGTCAGGTGAGAACATGCTGCTCACTTGGTCCTGAAGCTTATTGATCTGGTCCAAGACATCTCGCAAGTCCTGTTCAGAAACCTCAACCATGAAACCGTTCTCCTCAACCAGTCGTTTCACCACATTGAGAGTGCGGTGTAGCTTGGGGAAGCCATGGCGAGGCTGCTTGAAGGGTGTCACTTTGATGGGAGGCTTGGTTGCTGGTACCGTGGAGACCGCTTCTGGTGATTCGGCTGGAACGTCCACCCGAGGTATGAGAGCAGCATGAGCGTGTGGAAGGGACAAAGGGAGGTGCGGAACAATGTAAAGAAGTGCACAAAGGCGAACCATTGTGTCAACTAGACGGGTTCAATGAGATGAGGTGAAGTGGTTTAGCTGTAAACATTCATTATGGTCTATTGTTCTTCATATATCTCTGCCATCGAGTTTGGGTTGCAGGGAGCAACGCATTCCGACGATTGTGACGGCAACGGGCCATGTCATGGTGTCTTAGTCTCGGGGGTTTCGACTCATTGTGAACCAGCGCTTGCTGGTTCTTATTGGGTCTTGGGCCTGCTATCATTCCTGAAGCTGGTGCGACAGATACAGACCACCTTTGTAGCAGTATCTGCCGGTCTTCGGAGCGATGACATATTGGTCGATGTCGCCGAGCGCAGCATGTAATTGCTCAGGTCATTGCCGCGGCGATCGAGGCTATGCAGAGATGACGAAAATAACCAACTTTGGCGGGAAACTAACGCAGGGATTTTTGGCGGAGCCGTGACGAAATACGGATCAAACTTGGCAATTTCACACGGTCGGGTGGTTTGTCACTCTGCCCGCACTCGGTTGCACCGGATAGCTGCCCTGTGATGGCGGCGATTCTCGGGTTGCAACTTGGATCTACAAAAGACAAAGAGTTGGGATGCACAAATTCGTCCAGAGAGATGATGCACTTCAGTAATAGCGTTAAAGGCGCTGGTATGCTTTTGTGATGCGGTTTGGTGGTGGATAACCATCGCCCTGCAGGAATCTCTCGTAAGGCGACAGGTCAAAGCCTTGTTGAGGTCAAGGTAGGCTGGGCGCAGTACTGGAGCAATCCTTGAGGTCCATATCGACTGAAACGCTTGCGAGTTAATGATATTTCAAATAATAATCAGTCGCCCGGGATCTTGGGGGCCGTGTGAAAGGCTAAGCACTAGAGGTGCCGAGGGTTGAGGCGTCGGCTACCTCTGTGGACGAATGTGAGGCCATCCATAAGCATCGGACCCTTGGTCGTGGGCATGCGCTGTTCTTTGGGTGACAGTGGAGGTCTGTCTCATTGATAGAGAAGGCTATCAGCCGTATCCCTGTGTCAAGCTTTGAGGGTGAGTCGGTGAATTCCGCCACCGAGAAAAGGCAGCAGGGGCTCGCTTCCCATTGATGGATGAGTCCCATCTCTCGCTGCTTTTTGCGCCGTCCGTCACGGTCGGCTAATAAGGGAGGGAGGACGAGCCAGACCAGGCCATGGAGCGCCCACGGTCGGGAAAAGGGATGAGGGGCAGGCGATGATTCCCTAGCTTCGTCTTGTGTGTGTGTTTATCCCTCCCGTGCATCCCGCTGGACTCTGTCTGTCCTGCACATCTCCGACGGCGGTCCTATGGAAACCAAGTCCAATGTGACATGGTAGCGACTATCGCTGCAGAAACCTGATGCCTTGGCTGGATGAGGCGGACACTGTGCTTGCTTGTCTTGGCCACCATCTCTGGTTGTTGCCTCTCTCCCCGAGGGGGGCGGGGGCTGGGGCTGAAGCGTGGGAGGCAGAGGCAGAGGAGGTGATTTGGAGAGCGGTTCTGCTGGTCTTGAATCGCCGAGTCGCAGGCCAGTGGGAGGGAACAAATCCAGACTTTGAAGGAAGCCAGGAGATGGCGACGAGGAGACACAGTGATTGGTCGAATCGCTTGCATCACCCCCGGTCCCATCGGAAGACCAAATAATGCGGGACCCTCCATAACTGCATTACCTGGGCGTAGAAGGACGCTAGTCCTATTGGGGAACGCGCCGCCCCGGGGCAGCGAAAAATCCCCAGACGTGACGGGAGAGTGAGTACGCAGCAGCTGGGAGTGCACGCACACGCATCAACCCAGAGGAGAGCCTTTACCAACCCAACCCAAAACCAACCGAATTTTCCTTGTGCGCCGCCTCGGGGCCCCAGAATCGAAAATGACAATGAGACCAAGACCCCAAAAACCTACAAGACACGCCTTCTCCCCCCGGCCTCCCACTTTTCCCTCCGTCCATCAACTCTCCTCCCTTTGCTCCCACTGCCGCAGCCGCAGACCATCACCAAGTCGACGGGACGCCGCAAGTCCAAGTCGCAACGCCAGCTAACAAAATCTCCCGCTCCACGCAAGCCCCAAAAAGCCCACCACCCCTGACCACCACGGGATCACCACCAGCCTTAGGCCATTTGCCGCCTCTCCCGTCACCAGGCCATTCCACAAATCTCGCTTCCTTCTCCTTCCTCTCTCCATCATCATCCGCCATCCATCGCCGCTGCTCATCATCACCACTCGCCGTCCACCGTTTCGTTTCGCCTCGTCTCACTAAATAAAACCCTTACCTGCTGTCTCATCACCATCATCACCATTTACTCGCCGGCTGCAAAACTTTCTCAACACCATGGCTCCTCAAGCCAAGTCCGCCGACGCGCGACGCAAGTCCAGTGCAAAGCCCACGCTGCTCGTCACTGTCAAGGTGTCGCCTGACAAGCTTCGAGAACTCGTCGATTCCAAGCCCGTCAAGGAAGACTCTCCCGTCAAGTCTGAAAAGGAAACCATCAACTCGCCCGCTGCCGACACCGTTTCTGCCACCGGCTCGCAACCTCCTGCCAGCAACTCGAACGGCGACAATGCTTCAGACTCGAATGCTGCTACACCCGCTGCCGATGCGACTCCCGCCGATGGAACACCAGCTCCTTCAGCCATGGGCCCTCCCGTTGAGGGACCCAAGAAGAAGGGTGTCAAACGATCAGCTGCCAATGCCAACGGAATAGATGGCGTTCCCAAGCCACGAGGAAAGCCAGGTCCCAAGAAGAAGCCTCGTTTGTAAGTCTTGCCGATTAATCCTTTGTCAAAACCGACATGAAAGAACAGTGCACTAACAACTATTAATAGGGAGGATGGGACAATCGATCACTCAAGCTCGGCCAATCGACCGGCTGGAGGTCACAAGCTGGGCCCCAAGGCGAACCAAGGTGCTATCAATGCCGGTCTTCGCGCCCTCGACCGGTCTGGCAAGCCGTGTCGCAAGTGGAACAAGGGCGGCTTCACGCTCAAGAGCTTTACTGGTGTCGTCTGGGAAATCCCACGCTGGACGGCACCCCCAAAGAAGGGTCCCGAGTCCAGCACTGAGGATTCTGCTACCGTCTCAGCTGAGGGTAGTAGCAAGGAGAACAAGGTCAACGGTCAAGAGGGCAACAGCGCCAGCGCCAGCGCCAGCAACAGTGGTGTCGACGTCGAGATGCGCAGTGCATCCAGCCTCCACGGCGCATCACCAGCACCAGTGCCTATTGCCGCGGCCTCATAGACATAGGGCTGTCACGTTATTGACGTGCTCATTCTGCCCTTTCACAGAGGCTATTTTATTATTCGACATGTCACAGCGGAGTTTCAGGTTGACACAGGCCGACATTTGTCGACCAGAGATAAGTCCCTTTCGGTAGACTGGGCACAGAGAAGGGTTCAAACTTGATTATTTAATTCATCAGGGATTGCGACGCTGGTGTCGCCGGCGTTACAGGAACAGCGAAGATGGAACGCTATGGAAAAGGGTTGGCGACTGGGATGTATCATGTTTTGAAAGCACACAAAGTGCCTTGTTGTAACATAACGGACGATTCTGGCGAGAAATATTAGACAGTGGATGGTATTCCCAGGCAAATTGCATCAGTTCATCATTTTCTTGAGCCAAGTGCTCTGTCGAGATCGATCTTTTCACGGTATGCTTCCAACGCTGATCGTGGACTTTAATTGTCGCAGCCTGCCAAGGCAGGAGGAGTGGCATCAGGGTTTGGCGATTCGCCGCCCGGTCCAGGCGGTACGCAGTTGCTCAAGCCAGGCTGACGAAAAATTCCCTCTCGCGATAAAGTCAGATGCATGGTGGTGGTTGGCGTATTATTCCCCCCAGCCCGGGATCCCGTCCCGAAGATACTATACCCAAGCCTTGAACAAGTCCGGTACACGTCCCGTGGGTTTCTAGCGTGCGTCGCTGGACAGCTGGCTGCTCAGGTGAGGCATTTCCCTTCTTGAGCGGTATGCGAAGAGCTTGGAGGGGATGAGGTGCCCCAATGGCCAGATTGTGGGTACGTTTTCCGCTCGTCTTTGGTTCATGAGAGTCATGGTTTCAATGTCACTGGGTGATGGTGTGGTCGCAGCGCAGGCGCGCGCTTAGTCATCCATGTTCCAGGGGCAACCGGGGTCGCCCAGGAAGTGGATGAGCGGATGTGGGGCGCAGCTTATCCCGAATCAAGGGATGCATAACTTTTGCCAGCTGGTATTCCCGTTCTTCAGCTGGGAACAATAATGCCGATGAACGCACTGTTCAACATGGTCTCCCTTGCTGACACACTCTTTATGCAAGGAAAGGAACTCTGCACGCTTTGCACTCTTGCATGCTCCCTCTCAACCTGGGAAATTCAGTTTGGGATTGTCTCATTTCGTGCCACCTAGCAAAGCATGAGGCAATTCGAATGCAGCACTGAAGCTTCTTATTGGATCGTGGCTGCAGCGAGGCGTTGAACGATCCCACTTTAATACCCCGCAACCGACGGGCTCCACCCCGGAGCACGGCGGAGGGACACCGAGAACCGGCGTCGGTAGGTCCGTGAGAATAGATGCAAAGGCCGGAATGCGTATTTATGAAAGATGAAGACGGAATACAGTAAGTAGTGAGGCAAGAAATATTCAGATATGTTCAAGTTTTCTTTTCTATGCTGGATCGCGCTCGCTGTTGAGCATCAAAATGATCAACTCTGAAGAGAGCTTGGAGCTCATCAAGAAGGAACCTGGCATGTTATTCGTCCCAAGATATGAGTGAAAACAATGAACAGATATTATCTATGAGGTGCATTATGCACCATTTCATCCGCTCGAGTGAATGTGAAGCCTGGTTGGTGACGCCAGGGTTTTGATTGCTGGGCGTGGTGGCAGTCGGGATGCGTGTAATCCGGTTTGAGATGGAATACAAGAAATAATGTCATTTGGTACGATGAATACGCTTGAAATTGACCTTGGGATTGTCGCACCATGGTCGGCCATTACATTCAAGCCTGTGACCATCAAACTCAGGTCGAATTTGGTCGCTTGTGGCTGGCTTTTGTCATGGGAGTAAGTACTGAAATAGCGAGGGTATTCCCCTAGAGATATAGGACAGAAGGAAAATACTAAAGAATACATACCTATAAGGCTCAGGAGCGGCACGGGCCCAAAGTAGACACCAGTTCGATATACCTCGGCTAGAATGCCGAGATCCTCCGCTGGTCGCTCTGAATTTGTGAGGCAACTGCGATTATTGAGTGAAGTCATTCGCGTGACTAAATCAGCCAGTATCTATTTCTTGGCATATAAACTACCTCGATTTAAAATACTCCTACGGTATTGACTTGATTCGTGAACGATTTGAGTGATCTATATGGTGGTTCCAGGTCGGCATGGAACTACAACGATAGAGAAGACGTGATAAATGCGACGTACTACGAGACTGGACCACTCTCTGCTTAGAGCTATCAATGTGGAGTGTAATCACAAAATTCCATAAGCTTGCGTATAACACAGAGCATATGGGATTGGTTGCTCGTCGCTTGGTATTTTCATCTGATCATGATACGTCGGTGGGAGATCTGTCTGATTCGGAGAGTGGACAGAACGTAAGTGAATGAGCAGATTAAGCATGGCGGCGGTACTTCCGAGTTACATACTGAATAAAATTGAAGTATGATCTTAGTAAATTAATAGATGGACAGTAGTCGTATGGACGAGGTTCAAAGACGCTTGGGCGGGCAACGCCCTTCTTCACCTTAACTAAGACATAGGCATCCGAGCATATATTCCCGAGATACGGCGAGTTCAGAGTAGAAGCCGCAGAAAATGGTAAACTAAATGTAATTCTTAAATACTGTTGGATATTGGAGCCTTGTCAAATAACATAGTGGCTGATCGAAATCTGAAGTGGTGGCTTATGCTACCACGGTGCGACTATACATTTTCTCGTGTTCAACGCGCGATAGACTCGTTTGACGAATAGACAATAAGACAGATTGTGTTTGATCTATATCAAAAATGGCGTGTTCAACCACAAAGAACTTCTGTTTGACGCATTGTCCCCTTTTGAGGAGATTTGTTTGGTCAACACTGGCGACAGCATGTTCTGTGACGAGTCTTTTTTCGAGTGGACAGCCACATCACTCTGCAGAGCAGGCCTCAGACGCAAGAAGCTGAAAACTATTAGTCTGGTAACTCATGTAGTCTACGAGATACATCACCGGCATCAACAAGACATGGGTTTCGTTGATGTCCTTGGACCAATCCCTTTGCTGGGCCAACTTTGGTGTGTAATGTTGCACGAGATGCTTGGCCTCGGCACTGCCCATCTGCCAGTACTCTGTCCAATGCTCAACTCTCCTCATCAGACTTAAATGACTTGCATAAACATGGTATCCGATAAACATGAATCACCGGCATCATATCGCAATGTTGCGCTATGGTGCCATCATTGCTGGCCTCGGACCTGTTTTGGCCTGGTCTGGGGTCTGAGCAGTTGGGTCATCCGGGCCGGACAGCGGGGAAGCCGGCGGGGCCTCCACTGTTAAGCCGAGACAGCAGTCGACTGGGGGCTGGCTTAACAGACGATACCGAACTAGGTAGAGAGTGTTGGAGTTACGTCCAGGTTCTCGTGATTGCCAGACTGAACAGTACGTACCGTTTACTCTGGATGATCCAACCATGACTCGGCTTAACCCAACAACGACGACTGGTGCCGCGTAGCAAACAGAGAATTGTTTCTGTTCTCTTAAGTCATTATTCACATCATACCTGTTGATACCGGTGGTGCTGGGCCATCTCATGTGAGCGGGTCACGTCAACTTTGTTAGCGAGTGGTGACGGCACCTTTGACGCTCAACGGAACCACCTCCACCTGTATCCGACCACCTACCTACTGCTCGCTCTCCGCCATCTACCTACTCTCTTCGTCACTCTGCCAGCTACGAAGCCACACTGTCGACGATTGAACCGTTTCTCGTATCGCTGGTCCTTTATTGCTGCTGCTCCATCGTGGCAGGCTTCTTTTCCTCCTAGTCCGGCTCTTATCTGAAAGCTCGTCCTTGTCCGTCTCGTTCTCCGATCCCTGTGGTGCCCACCACCACCTACCTGCCGTCCCGAACGACGAGCTCGCACGCACGCATCGGAAGCCTCTTTCTCTCGGCTTCGTTGCGCGACTGGGCCTGTGACGGCTCGTCATCGATCCTGCCTGCTCGACGTCTTCGTGGTCATGGCAAATCCCCTCCAACGCGCCTCACACTCGTCCGCTTTGCCCGAATCAGCTTCGCCATCCGTCGCGCCATCCACCTCCTCCCGCTTTCCTCCTCCGTACAACTCGTCCATCGACAATATCCCAAACTTTTATACCCATCCAGCCCGAACCTCCATCTTTAACGCTTCCGGTGACCTGGCCATCTCAGGTTCAGGCTCGATCGATCCTAGCAAGATGGACAACGTCGATACCGAAACCACCTCTCGTGTCTGGAGGGGCGCCCTCCCCTCCTTCTCACGGGCCTTCAACATGCTCAGGGCTTCCGAAGCCGCCGACGGCTCCTTTCAGAACGACGAGGACTCATTCTTTGTCCCATCATACCTTGAGGGCTCAACATATGTGCAAAAGCTCCGTGAGGCGCATAGGTCCAAGCTCCAAACCCGCGACTCCAACCGAACCTCAACCAACGGCTTCTCCCAGAATCTGACCACTTTTAACACCCAACATCCTCTGCCGCCGGGCTCGTACCGAGGCATGGCGCATACTGTTATCGAACGCCCTCCCGTCTTTGACGAGGATGACTCGCTGGCCCCACTACCATCCAGATGGAACAAGGACGATCAATGGGGAGGCATCGAGATTCAAGCCGACGGTCTAAGCATCAAGTATGTCGGGCCTAAGAACCAGCACGACCGCGATCATGAGGCATGTGCCGCTCGCGCCGATCACTACATGCCTGCCCAATGCGGAGTGTACTACTTTGAGGTTCAGATACTGGCTGCTATACGAGACGAGTGAGTCTGCCTGTTGGCCAAGCCATCTTCATAGGCCTCTTTCATGCTAACGAGTCAAACAGTGCGACTATAGGGATAGGATTCTCTACCAAGACTGCGACATTATCACGACCAGTTGGCTGGGAACCCGAGGCTTGGGGCTACCACGGTGATGATGGTCGATGTTTCACTGGCCAAAACATTGGACGGCATTTTGGCCCTCTATACAACACAAACGACGTTATTGGATGTGGCGTCAATTTCAGGGACAATACCGCTTTCTTCACCAAGAATGGGGTCAAGATTGGTGAGTTTTTAAGGCCCCTATCCTGGTATGTAGCTGACAGCTCAGGGACTGCATTTCACGATGTTATCCGAGGAAAGCTCTATCCTACCGTTAGCCTAAAGAAGCCTGGCGAGTTCATTCGAGCCAATTTTGGACAAACCCCTTTCGTGTACAACATTGACGACCTTATGAGGGTAGGCTTGTGCAACTCATCTTGCTGCATGAGACATGACTGACACGCTATTAGGAAGAGCGCGAAAAGGTGCAAAAGGATATCCAGAGCACCGACACATCGAGTCTCGTACAAGGAATGAGTGAGACCGATGTCATCCAGGCTCTGGTTCTACAATTCCTGCAGCATGATGGCTACGTGGAGACAGCCCGTGCCTTTGCTGAAGATATGAAGGTTCAAAAGGAAGCTCTCAGTCTTGACCCAGGACTTAAAGTGGATGGTGTCAATATCCGAGATGACGAAGATGCCAACAACCGACAACGTGAGTTTTATTTGACCCGTTAAGTGCCAATCTAACAGGGGTTTTAGGCATACGGAGAGCTATCCTGGAGGGAGATATTGACAGGGCGCTCAAGTACACCAACGCATACTACCCTCATGTGTTAGAAGACAACGAGCACGTTTACTTTAGGCTACGATGCCGTCGGTTCATTGAGCTGGTGCGAAAAGCCGCTCAGCTCAACATGCTAAATGAGACTAAGAGCAGCAATGGGCATGGCTCTAACGCAGCACCCCAATCGATGGACATTGATCTTAACGGAAGCGACACCGCCGCATGGGAAGCTGATGGTGGTGAAAACGCAGCTGAGCTTGCTGAACTTGAGCGTAGCATGCTCGAGTATGGCCAGAAGTTGCAGGAAGAATATGCCAACGATCCACGGAAAGAAGTGAGCAAGGCGCTGAATGAGATTTGGGCACTGGTGGCATACCAGAATCCTCTGAAAGAACCGCAAGTCAGTCATCTTTTGGACAGAAGAGGGCGAGTGGCTGTTGCTGAGGAGCTCAACTCGGCCATTCTATGTGAGTCATGACATGTGCCTTGACATTGCATGTCGCTAACTGAAGTAGTATCCCTCGGCAAGTCGTCCCGAGCAGCGCTGGAGAAGCTCTATGCACAGACGAGCGTTCTACTGGAGGATCTTCGTCAGGATGGAGGTGAGGGGGCTTTTGTGTCTGTTGACGATGCCTGGGACGGGATCCCTCGATCGACACATCTCTGAGCATGTCAATGGGGTTAGCTCACCGTCACTTTTTCTCTCTGCCATATTGTGGGTTCTTCGCATAGGTCGGCCTCGGATCATACCTCGGCGTTTGAAATGTTGTTGCAGCAAGGAGTTGTTCTCTCGTATCATCACATGCAGGCAACTCTGCTTCTATCGATAATGGGTCCACGGCATGCGATATCAGTCGTCCAGGAGCCAGTCATGGCAGCTTGGTGCATGCCATTGTTTCTTTGCTTCTATCTGGATCCATGCAAACGGTTCTCCACTATACTTCTTGGCACGTTGTGATTTATGCCGGCATTGTTTTGGGTGGAGGGTCGTGGGCTGATGGTGATGCTACGTATAGACGCGGTCAAGGGGCGGTCACAGCGGGTTTCAAGGGACTTTGTTTGGAGGCAAAGGACAACTCCCCTCTTTCACATGGATGAAGATGAGATTGGGAGCGGATTCGATTGCAAAGTGGCCAGCGAATAGATGAGATATTGAATTTGGATTTCTTGAGCGAAATGTTGAATCCTGGGCCGAACACGACAGCCGTTTTGCTCATTAAAACAGAGGTCCCTTTTTATCTATTCGTGATGTTCGGATCCTTCCTTTTGGTAGGTATACATATTTTTACAGTGTCTATACATGCATGGTTCTCGTGGCAGATTAAATGTCGAAGTCGTGAGGTGTAGTTATGAGCTCTTTTTTCCCCAGCACCTCTCATATAGTCTCTTCCGATGACTCTTTAGATTTTCCAAGCCATCCAAGCACTTACTTAGTGAATCGTCTTCCCACGCGAGCGCATCGGCGTCCATAAGGTATGTGTACGCGAAGACGTCGGCGTCGAACAGACTAGGTTCATCTGCGCCAAAGAACCATTCGTCCTTGTTTAACACGGCGGATAGTGCTTGTAGCGCGGTGGCGGCGTCCTCAAAAAGCTGAGACTTGGAGATTGTTGCCCGTCGCGTCGTCTTGAGAATCTCTGCTGTGGCGGCGGCGTGGAGGGTATGATGGATAGGTGTACGGAGGAAGATCGAGGATGGGAGGTAGAGGGAGCCAAGAAGGGGCGCGTTTGCGGGGAGAAGGTATAGCGCATAGAGCTGTGGCTGTCAGTATACTATAAGGCATAGTTAGGAGAGGTTGGCGCACCCAAGCTGGACGGATTCGTTGTGTTAGGAGAGCATGGTAGGCTTCGATGCGGGGGGAGGCGACTACAGGAAGCTCGCGGACAGCGTGCTCGCGAGCGTACTTGTGTATCTTTTCGCCGGCGAGAGGAGCTGAAGGTCTTGGAGATGGCGACGATGGTGGTAGGAGGAAGGGTAATGCGCCGGAGGGTGAGGCATGATTGTTGGAGGGGACGACCTCGAAGTCAATGCCGGCCATCTTTAGCACTGTCTATCGAAACTACATTAGCTTTTGCTATAGCATAGACGACATCCGTCGCAAACACACCTGCCACTTCAAGCATGAAGGGTTATGGCTCGGGTTCCCCAGCGCCGCTTCTCCATCATCGGCAAAAACATATAGAGCTGCCCGTCGGCGCGCAGCTGCGGGGGCTCGCGCGGGGAGCTCTTCCGAGGCGAGGACCTGGAGGGGAAACAGGTCGAACAAGTTTCGGATAGGTCGCGGGACAGCAAACCACCGGTCGGACAATTGGGGGCCCGAGCCTTCGACGGCGGAGGCCATAACGGGCGGAAGTAAAACGTTGGCGGGGGTGTTGATGCGAACTTGGGGTTGGATTTGGTGTTTTTTTGGTGGTTAGGCTTGGCTAACCCCCGGCGGATCGGCGGCGGCGGCGGCCAAACCCCGGATGCGGAGGGTACGTACTCGGGGTCCGGAGGGAGCTCCATTGAAGCTCCGGGGTTACGGAGAGAAGAGCGATTCAAAGGTACTCATTCAAGAGAAGTCGAAAACATCATTTTGCAGTAGTAGGCCTTGGGACTGAGAGCGTTGGCCATCATCTGGAACATTCCTGCGTTGAGCCATATTCCCAGCCCTATGACAGCGTGTGGTGTGAGGCGTCAAGATATGACAAGGGGGATAAATCGAGTTGGCAATTGTCTTTGGTAGCATTAATCTACATTCAATGTCACCATGAATCTCATTTCTCCGAAAGGGCTGCCATGATAAAATCATCCCATGTGGTCTAGAAAAGGCTCCTCGAACCACCCACAAAGTGTCAAGGCCTTCCTGTTTTGGCAGGGTACGGCCCAACTGCGGTTGACGAGGAAGAAAGGCTCGGCTCACCACTACCCCGAATTGCGAGCAGCGTTGAAAAAGCCTCGCTACCTCGGTCAATATTACAAACTAAACTAGTGTTTTCTGGGCATGACGGTTGTGGCGAAATAGAACGGACCAAAGGCCCGAGGCAACCTTGGGGGGGGGGAAAGATGTCGCTCCGAAGAGCCGCTCGGTAACAATTGAAGGCATCAGCCAAGAGAACCCACACGTCGGAAAAGCAGGTGAGAATGAGGCTAAAAGCTTGTCGCTAACTTGGGCGTTGCATCCAATCCATGAGCGTCTTTCTCGCTGCAAGGGGCGGGCGGGCGCGCTTCTCGCAAGGGGAAAGCTCGGCATCCCCACAAGCGCGGGACCGCAAGATTTGAAGACAAGACACCAAACTAGACGAATTCCGAAAGATTCCGGGCTTATCAGTTGGTTTGGGTCGAATCTTTTTCGTCATGCTGTTGTTGTTATTGTTGTTTGTTTCATGAGGATGATGATGAGGCCATTCTCAAGCAGACTCGATGCAGGTTTTGTGTGACACGTTAGAGTAGCACGAACTGCATGTTGTGCGTGTGTGAGATTATGTAACGGTGCAGTATTGGAAGCACAGACAGAGACTCATGTTGTGTCAAGTATTGGCATCTTCCCTGTTCAAGAGAGAGAGGGTTGACCGTGCTTCGTGGGGACCGTTACAAGGGCCTGGTATGTAACCACCATGGGGGGGCTCGAGATAGAAGCCGAGAAGCACATTGGAGGGGATAATGGACGGCGGCGGTGAGTTATCCGTCAAAATGGAGATGCGGTTCCGCTGCCAATAAAGAAGCTTGTGATGGCGTCTTTTTTCAGGGTCCTTTTAGCTGCACTCGCAATGACCCCTCATAGATTCGAGAACGACGAGGGAAAATACTGCAGCACGTTTCCACCCCAGATCCACAGTCTACAGTAACAATCTACAGGGTCCGAGGATCCAGCCGTAATGGGGCTCATGACGATAAGTCGATGGATATTCGGTCTCTGGTGGTGCCATGATCAAATGAAAATTCCCATCCATTCTCGGTCCAACCTTGATGTTCTTCTTGCTCCCTCCACTTTTCTTTCCTCCACCTTTTTCTCCTCCTCCTCCTCCACACTTCGGCGACTCCGTCTCACACGTTTTTGGGTCTGAACCGCCATAACCCACCCCCAGAGTTCGTTCTTTGCACTCCGTTCGGCCCTTTGACGCTAGCTCCGTAGATTCAGCGGATATGCGGGATCAGCCTAAAGTCTCTTGTCTCTGTACCGGTATCGCCTTGTAATACGCCCGGATATTTACGTATCCATTGGCAGACACACACACATTATCTTGCCTCGGATCTCAGGTTCCATCCACCATCCAACTTCCATTAGTTTTATCAAACGTCACCCACCAGCCCAGGGACGTCACCTCGCAGGCAGAAGCATCCCTTCCAATCAGGTCCCTGTGAGACAGCCGATTAGACATTGATTCCTTACTCGAGACCACCCCACGCATCTTTTTGCTCTATCCCAAGGGCTGAGCAAGACATTGGATCCCTTCCCTGATCTGTCAACTCTACTCGGGTACTTAAACTGAGCACTTCCCCCCCACCCCCCAGAGTCCAAGAACATCTTGCGTCTTTGACTCTTTTGCACCACATCAGTAACACTTATCATCACTGTCGCTTCTAAACAACATCAACAACAACCAACAATGGACGCTCCCTCTGGATCTACCTCTTCCTCCTCTTCGGCTCAGCAGTCTCCCGCCGTCCAGATGCTCCCCCAACCTGCCCCCGCCCCCGTGAGGACCGCCTCTACCGACGCCTTCCTCAAGGATTTCAACCTCGTCGCTGAGGCGGCAAAGCGAGCGCAGATGGCCATCATGGTGCGCGACTTTGAAGAGTGCGGCATCTAAGAAATCGTCTCAACAAATCGACCAGCCAAGCAATAAGGCTTTCATGCATGGAGCGAGGAAAGAGAGAAGCCCGTTAGAAACAGACGTCGACATGGGGGGTTCAACCTGACCAATCATGATCCCATGTCACCCATCAACGGCCTAGACCCCATCCCCATGTCGACCTCGGTTGGTGGCATGGCATGGCATGTTTCGCTATCACGTCTTGGACTCTTGTTGCCAATCACCATCAGCACGAGCCTTATCGTGCTTCTGTCTCGGCTTCTTTTCCTCTGCAGCAAATCCATCCAAGTGGTTCCTTAGGAGGAACCCAGCAGAAAAAGCCCAACGCTTGTGGGGTGCTCCAAAATCCGGTCCTTTTCTTCCTGTCGGGCCGGGATCATGGGCGTTTTCGGTGGATCATGATATGGGACAATGTCATGCTCTTTCTCGGTGGAAATAATGCGGCCTTCCCTTACCTTACCTCGGGATGCGGAAGCGAGAGCGGCTTTTCGCATCAGAGTTTTTCTTTTCTGTTTTTGACTTGCGCAATTTTCTTTTTCTGGCGATCTGGGGTTTTCGGCGCAATTGGGATCAAAACGGGGGGTCATGACCCGTATTATTTACTGGCTTTTTTATTGTTTAAATCTGTGTCGCCCGGTATTTGGGACGGTCGGACATGGAATTATACCACGGGTCATGGCAAGCAAAGCAAAGCTAGAAACTATTATTTATCGTCATCTTTTTCGGAGGAAAGAAAAGCTAAGCTGCATCTGGTCTGGATAGATAGAACAACGTCTACCTTGGGTATCATAATAAATGCAAGCCGTCTTCCTTTTGATCAAACTTTGTCTCCTGCTGGTCTCGCCATGGATGGATAAATGTGCCCAGATCTCGATGGCCAAGTCATGGATCCTCCCTTGGCGAGGCACCTCGGTTTCTCACCCACCCACCAACTGCATCGCAAGGCTGCATGCCTGCCATCACACATAAACCGGTGAATGCTGTCAAGTCAGGTCAGGGTATCTATGAATCTCGTGATGTCTCTCACATTGCTTCGCTTATGCTTCGGTTTCGCGATAACCATCACCCTGTTCTGTGGAGCATACAGTCGAGTATCTGTGCCGTACTCGAATACGCGGATAAATACACCTGATATGATATGTGCCTACTATTCTTCCTCATCTGCCCCTGCACTTACGCCTTACTATCAGGGGTCGTTGTCACTATAACCATACTCCGCATGACACAAAACCATGCGGCGTCAGAAACACATAGTTGCAGCGAAAAACACTACACTGCAACTCTCGAGACAAGACAAAAGTCCCCATTTGTTTCCTCGACAAACCCCCACGTCAACATCCTCACCGAAACCCCCCGTACGAGCTGGAATAGGTTGGTGGTTGCAACCCTCTCCTCTTCGAGGTGGTGTTGAAGACTGTACGTGTCTCACCTAATGCATGGCGGCGGCGTGAGGCCCGGCATACATACAGCAGCAGCATAGTTCTTTTTAGCCAAGAACTCGTAAGCCTTTTTGAGGAAGCTGTTTTCATTCCGTCTTGGTCATGCGTGAGGCTTCAGCTTTGGGGGATCCGTTCCTCATCTGGACTAGGTTGTCGCATTTAGCACAACCAACTGCATGTTCCTTGATCACAGGGGCACTATGCACGAATAACCAACTGCATAGGAAGTGCAGGGAACTCATGAGGTATCCAGATCGAGCCTCAGCTTCAGAGTTGCTGTCCGGTTCTTAGCCACTCGTGTCTTTGCTCTTGATACCTCAACGCGATCCTACAGGCCTTGGTTGAGTTACTTCAACTTGTGTCAATTCACTGAATCTCTTATCGCCATTATGAATGACTCCACGCCAACAGGACTGGACGCTCTTGCACACGTTATCGATTATCTGCCGCCCTTGGAAATTCCAGACCTCACTCGTTGCAGAGGGGAAAATTAGAGATGAGTCCAGTGCGGTAATCCGATCACAGCAGCCAAACGGCCCCAAGCACTTCCACTATGGACCGACCTTGCTAACAGGGAATACTTTCTGGACAATGGGGACCTTTACTACAGGCTTGATACCTTGTTAGAATGCATCCATTGCAATTATCATGTCTAAGCCGCCTTCAATCGGTACCGTAACTGGAGAATGGAGCGATCCCTCGACGCCGCTTCCTACTCGTCTGAGAGTTTAGTGTCCGGCACGCCAGAGCAACGCAGCTCGATCGAGTTTCCCTCCGAGACGGATATCACTCCATTCTCCAGCCCTCTAGCTAAGGACGATATTCCTAGAAACCCAAAGAGCCCAAGTTCTGATGCGGCGGAGAGCTTTATTTAGTTGACGCCAACCAGGTCAACCACGGCAAGCCTCAGATTCCCCGAGGAAACTGAGCGGCTCGGTACTGTAGAGGTGGTTTCTAAGCGCATCTCGGTAATCACCATCACCACCGACCCGGAAAAGCCGACTTGCAATACCTCGGAGACTATCGTGGAGAACTTCTCAGCCATGGCCATCTCTGGCTGAGAAATTCGCAAGCGAGTCAAAAGCCCGCGACAAAACAAGTCGCTGTCGAGGCTGTTTCAACTGTGGCTATCCCTATCAGCGAAGAAGCCAGCACGATAAAGACTAGCGAAAAGGATACTGCCCAGGACGTTAGAGTCGTTGGCCTCGGCCTCATCTCCACCTTGCAACGCAAGGGTTCGCTGCGAGATGACTCCCCAGTTATCAGGGAACTACACAAACATCTCACGCCCCAGCAGCTTGAAGAAGGGATCGTCTATGTTCTAGAGCATACAGGGACCCCTGGCCTCTTCAATATTGGATGGACCAGGACGAGCGTCTACGGGCGTCTTGGGCAGCCCGGGAACTGTTATGGCAAGCACACCAAGGTTCTTCATGAGACAAACTCCGGACGCTTCGCCAGCGTTTCAAAGGCAGAGAGGCTTGTCCAAGTCATCCTTCACCACCAGGAACATTGAGGTCTTAGAGTGCGAGGAGTGCGGAGGCGGGCACAAAGAATGGTTCGGATCTTCCAAGGATGAGGTGCTCAGGACGGTCAAGCTCATGCAAGATTTCGTCCAACTATCGGCGTGTGAAATGTGCGAAGGGGAGATGAAGCTCTAGCGTGAAGCAAATGCCTTCGTCAAGACCATGTGCAGCTTCTCAACTGCCCGGCTCGAATCACTTATGGCCAGACCAGAAAACAGCGTGAAAGAAACTGTTGAGTCAATGTTGTCGGTCGGCGGCCAGGTTTCGGCCTCTGAAGGGTCAGTTGAACAGGCTGCTTAAGAGCCTCTAGGGAGTGAAGAGAACTTGAGTTCGTCGACATCACATCTCTCCGACAGGTCAAGGCCACCAAGGATATCTCTTGCTACCAAGCTTGGAACTAGAGGAAACAAGGTCAAAGTACTTGCCGTCAACACTGTTGCCAACACCAATGATCGATTTGGCCGACTGTTCAACCACTCACGAGAGTCTACGCCTGAGCCCGAAGACGCGAATTCAACCGACAGATCAAACGCGAATGCGAATACATCAAAGGCTCTGAAGAGCTCTTGGTCAAGTTTCTATAGAATCTTCTACCAGCGGATAGCAAGCCCGAGCAGGGCGTGACGGGCGATGATGGATGATGGACCTTGTGATATGGCCGCTCTGAAGACGGTGGTGCGGCAAATGGCTGATGATTTCCGAAAGGATTTTGAGGCGGCCTATGATGGAACTGATAATACAAGAGGCAATGATGGAGACTCGAAGACGCAGTAGTGGATCGCTGCAGGTATCACTGTAAGAATCGTAAACAGAAGATAAACTTCTTGGTAGTCACACAGCAGATGTCGGCTGCAAACGATTAGTGCTGCAGCTGTCATGCTGTGTATCTGTCCTCACGCGTTCTGTGCGACCTCCAAGAGCGACATCAAGTCGGTGACCAAGTGCGGTCAGAGACATCATGCCTTGGCTCTGTTTCATGATGTTGACTGTAACTCGCCTGCTCGGTTCATCAACGCACCAATCATGGCGAATGGTGGTGCAGAAGTCCCCCACAATCCGGTCACTTGCTGATTCTGATGGAGATTCGAGGCTTATTCAGAGATGGATGTACGAGGAGAGATTGTTGATCTATAGATGAATGTTGAGATGTGATGGGTGCCGTGACGCAGAGGCAGTTGCAAGTAGGCGCTCCTTCTACCGAGACACTCGTGTCCTGCCAAGGAAACAGTTAGCGTCGCAACTAGGGCAGGCACTCCGGATGTCCGCGACTGAGATTCGCCTTCCTTCCGAACTTGAGAAAGCACGCGACCACCACAAATGTCCTGATTTCCCTCACTCACTCTATCATCTGGCAACTCCATCATCATCTACGCCCATGACCTAATCGCAGCAATTCCTCTCATAATTGGTTATATCACGTTTATTCATACAGTAGCTTTCGTCCTGGCCGTCTTCAGTCTCATTCTACCCCCCGCAAACGATCCATCCATTCCGTCATCGTCCAGCTTCATCATACCCCACCATCCGAGCCGATCCATCGCCCGACCCGACCCTCCCCCTCATCTCTGTTTAGCACGCTAGACTTGGCCAGTTCCTGATCAAAGAGCTTTCGCCCTCGACCGACTCCCTCCCACATTGATCCTCCACCATACGAGACCGACATACACCGCTTCCTCGTCGCCAATGGCTACAGAAAATCCTCTCGAGGCGCGATTCGCCTCCGTACCCTTCTCGGACCATGGTTCCCGCTGGGATAGCTTCTGGCGGGAAGCTCGCACACCTTGGGATCGCGGCAGTGCCTCACTAGCCCTGCACGACCTCCTCGCCCAGCGTCCTGATCTTGTACCGCCTTCTCAAAATCATGACCATCGCGGCCAGCTCCTGCGCGACTCAGTAGGCGCTGTTCGCAAGAAGACGGCCCTGGTTCCTGGTTGCGGTCGCGGTCATGATGTTTTGCTTCTGAGCTCATGGGGCTACGACGTATGGGGTCTCGATTACAGCGCAGCCGCAAAGGAAGAGGCTATAAAAAACCAGAAGCATGCCGAAGCTGAGGGTCTATACAGGGCTGTGGACGGGTTGGATAAGGGCAAAATTCACTGGGTGACGGGTGACTTTTTCAGCCAGGACTGGGTCAAGCCAATTGGCACCGACGTCAAATTCGATCTCATCTATGATTATACGGTAATTCCATGTCTCCCCAGTTTTCCTCAAGATCCTACATGATTTCTCCTCTTCAAGCAACCCGACTAACTCTTCAGTTTCTCTGCGCGCTGCCTCGGGAAGCAAGGCCGCGATGGGCCAAGCGCATGACGGATCTGCTTGCCCATGACGGCCGACTCGTCTGTCTCGAGTGGCCTTCGACAAAGCCCATGTCCGCCAATGGACCCCCATGGGGTGTATCTCCAGAGCTCTACGAGGCCCTCCTGTCGGCCCCGGGCGAGGAGATCGCGTACAACGACGACGGCACCGTCCACGAGGATCCGATTTCAAAACCTTGGGCTGACGCCCTACACCGGCTGAGCCTCATCAAACCTCGGCGGACACACAAGGCCGGCACCGGCGAAGACGGCGCCGTCCTCGACTTTATCTCGGTGTGGAGTCGATAGCCAACTGAGCACCTCGCCCGCCGCTCCTCTCTTTATGACTTGATACCAAACAACCAGCCTACATGATTCGTCGTTGTTGCAGCGCACAGAAACGTGATCCCTCTTGTTCTCCGTTCTCATCATGGCGCTTTGCGGAGTGAGTTGTAGTGTTCTCCCAAGCCGTAGCCGTGCCTGTAGTATGCCAGCCATAGCGTCTTGCCCGATGCCGCACCCTCGTCCTCGCCAATGCGCTCGAGACGACCGTCCTGTACCACGCGAATCTCTGTCTTGTACTGTCGTGCCAGTGCCGTGAGCTCCAGTTGTCCGCCCCATTCAGCAGTATCCCGCATCTTGCGAGCGTAGTCCCCAAGGTCCTCTTCCAGGAACGGCGCAAAGTCATCACCGTGCTCCAACATGTACGCCGTAGCTGCTCGGCGCACCGTCTTGTAGGCCGGTTCCTTCTCGGCGTCGCCCGCTCCGAGGGGAATATCATGCTGGCCTAGTTGGTCCGCCACGGCCGAGAACAGACAGTGGCCATCTGGTGCAATATCCTTCTCGACCAACCCGTGCTTCTCAAATGTTGTCTTCATGAACTCGCTCTCCTTTGCCCGGTAATCCGTCATATTCGCAGCCTCTTCCTCGGCACGCTGCGCCGCCTCCTCCTGCTCTGCGGCACGTCGTGCCATGCGCTCCTTTTGGCGGTTTCGCTTCTTTCCCGGCTGTTGTTGCTGTTGTGCTGGCTCCGATACTTTAAGCTTTGCAGTTTCCGCTACGAGATTTTCCTCCTCTGGCTTATTCTCTGTCACTGTGATCTCTGGTTCTTCGTTCGACTTCGCGGGGTCCAGCGCAACAAGCTCGGCGGCATGCTTCTCGCGTAGGGTCCGTTCCATCTCGGCGCACTCGTCATTGACACCCTTGCGTGTCTTTTTTGTAGCGTTCTTCTTCTTTCCTGTTATGCGTCCTTGCAAGTCTTTCAGTTCACGGCGGTGCCGCGCCTGGACCTGCTCGAGTGTCTCGGTGGCGTCCATGGTGGCAATGATAATGGTCGACGGGGAGTTGCGCGTGTATACGGCGGTGTTGATACTCGAGATTCTTCTTGTATAAAACGACGACGAAGGAAGAGACGATACAGTGAAGGGATATCTAAAGATTGGTGGAGGTGGGTGAAGCTTGGAGAGCTCAGATCGCGGGGTAGTGGGATGGGATGGGAAAATTCAGGCCCCAAGATGGTGGGGCAACGACACGCTCATCTCTCGACGTCACACGAGCAAGAGAACGCTCACAATAACCGCCATGGTGATACACACACAACATCATTATTAGAGACTATAGTATTTCCAAGAAAAGGCAATGTCCCATTCGGAACAGGAAGACACTTGATAAGTTTTACTTCTTTGATTCTCTATCTACCAGCTATCTAAGTTCAATCTAGGTATCCATCGCAATATATATAATCAAACAAGATCTTGTCCAGGAACTAGAAGGTTGCGGTCAATGACCATGAGTCTCTTTCAAGTAGCTCCGACTTGTAGTGAGTGGCCTCCTTATAGGATCCATCCGTGACAACTAACATATCCTCTGCCACTAGGTAGTAAACCCGATCCTCCCATGTCGAGCTCCTCTAAACCGTCCGTCCACATCCATTTCTTTCGACTTTTCAAGCCTTTTGTCCCTACTCAAATAAAAAAGAAACTCCAAAACTCCGCGCCTATAGCGAGTGTGGACTGGGTCATTCCAACCCCAGTTCGGTTCCCAAACCAATCCCAAAGTAAATATACAAAAGGGTATAATATCCGTTGTGACCCGTCCTTATCCAACGTGCTTGTCAAGATTCAAGGAAATGAGAATGAACGTGATGGCGGCCGTCATGCCGCCCCTGCTGAACCCCTTACATCTTAGAATCCCTTGAAAGGATCGTCACGGAAGTAGTCCTCCTCGCCGGCGGTTCTGCTTCCATGATAATAGTCGTCAAATCCTGCACGGTTGCCACGAGAGTGATAGCTGTCCCTATGTCGACTCCGGCTTTGTCGTCGCCTTTGTTCCTTGCTACGCCTCCGGAGAGAGTGACGAAACTCGTCATTCTCATCCGGATAATCGTTGAATTGCGAGAATGCTAGAGGGCTGATGAAAGCCTCCATCCGCACAGTTCCAATAGCATCGAAGAAGTTGCTGGGCCGAGATGATGCCTCCGAGGTGCGCCCCGACCCGGCCTGGCTCATGCCCCAGGTTCCAGTTCCGGACCCAGCTTGACTCATCCCCCAAGTTCCGGTTCCGGTTCCGGTTCCAGTGCCTGTGCCAGTGCTAGATGCCTGGTAAATGTCTGAAGAGCCTGCAGTTCCAGTGCTGTTACCGGCTGTGCTGTTGGTTGCCTGATGCTGACCAACACCGCCGATAGGTCCAGAGAAGCCCCGGAAGGAGAGCGGCGGCGGTACGTGGCCGCCAGTGTTGCTTCGCTTACGTCCATGAACCATAGCTTGATTCCGGTCATGGAAGCGTGGAATAAAGGGAGGCTCCGCCGCATCTCTCGAATCATCGCGCGAGTGGTTGCTCGAGAAGCCGCCTGCTGAGCTTGAGAAGCCACCCACGGATTCTGCGATTGGGAAGCTCGTTACATCGCCCATCTGTGAAGATGGCGCGCTCGGGATACTGGGGATGCTAGGGATGCTTGGCGGTCCAGGCCTAGGAGCTGCCGTGCGACCCTTGGCGAGACGGATCGAGTCTCTGATACCCCCGCGCTTCATCTTGGATCGGGGCTCTTCAAACTCGGGCAGTGGTGCTTGTTGGATAGGCGGCGGCGCTGAAATGATCTCGGGCACTGCCTGGGATGAATGCGCTAGGAACGACAGAGCCGTCAACCAGATATAATGTCGATCGGCAGATACTGCTGTAAACTTCAGGGCTCTCTGTGGCGTGAGAATGAGGATTGATCGGTTAAAGACAGGAGCCATGCCCTTGGGCGCGGCGTTGTCGTCCTTGACATCCAGCACAGATTGGATCGTCACTGATTTCGTCAGCGATTCGAGGTTCGGGAGAGCGAGGGAAAGCAACTTACGTTTTCGGCCAGTCTTGCCCATCAAGGCACTGCCCGAGGACGGCTGCTTGCTGCTCCAGAGGATGGCCCTTTCATATGGTGCGAGCCAGACCCATCTCTTGTGCCGGTCGTTGCCAGTGTCGTCCTTGCCGTTGCTTTCTGGCACACCAAACGACTTTCTTCTGCGGACGTACTTGAACATCCACTCACCAACCATGGCCTGGGCAATGGCATCCACTACACCAGTGCTCTGAGCACTGCTGGACATGAATGGTGGTGGGTCGGTACTACCAGTGTTGGCAGTATTAGACGTGTTGAACGTATTAAACGTGTTGAAAGTGTTGTCCGTGTTAGTTGAAAGCTTGTGTTGATGCCTGAACTGTCCACTATGGCGGACTCGGGTACGGGGAGTTGTGATATCGTTCCGTGGCAGAGGGGGAAGGCTGGGGCTCTCAGGTGCCTCCGTAGAAGGAGACAACGGAGGGGGAGAGCGACTTCCTTGGCGACGGTGTCTCTGGTTGCGTGGTAAAGCAGCAGCTGAGCGAACCTTTCTGATGCTGCTCGCGCGGTACACACGACCGGAGCCTCGGCGCTGGAAGGTATCTCCTCTGGTTGGGCTTCTCTGTCCGTCACTCGGGGCGCTCGCACTGAATGGAAGCTTCCGCGAGCTAGCTCGGGTTGGGATTGGGAATGGTGGGTTAGGTGGGTTGTTGGATTCGGGCAGGCTAGGGCTCCTTGAACGGCCTTGATGACTTGCGATACCATTCTGGATCATGGCCGCCTTCCTCATCACACTGGCTCGGTTAGATGACATGCCAGCAGGTCCCTTCTCGTAGGCTCTGCCAGACTTGCTCGAAGACATTCGACCCATGCCATCCTTATCAGCGTTACGGTAAGCATGATGAAGCTCTGCTGCCATACGTGGTCCCTGGCGCATTGTGATTTGCTCAGGAGATGTTGGGATTGTTCCATTGGTTCCAGTCGTGCCTGTTGAGCTGCGTTTGCCAGGGCGGCTTGAGATGGACTTTGGTCGAGGTGCAGACAAGGCTGTCCGATACTCAGAATCGCTCAGCTCGACATCTCCAAACTCATCTGCCTCATCAGAGCTTCCACCATCAAAGCCAGCAAACAAGCTGCTGAAGCGATGAGGCCTCCGCACAGGCGCCCGCTGGCTCGACAAAGGACCATCATCGTTGTTTCCAGGATAAGCGTCATGGAGGGTGTCATCATCGGCAACTGAGATTGGAGACGAGGGCAAATCGCTCAGGCTTCGCTTGGTTGTCAGCCGGCGAGGGTTTCGTGGTGGAACATTGCCCGGAACAGGTGTAAAGTTCTTGGCAGATTCATTGACAGGGCTTGGGTTCGGGGATGTAGGTCTTGAAGAGATGGCAGAGGGTTGGAGATGGGCTGGAAGGAGGGCCAGCCGCTTGTCGGTTTGGATGCCTTCTGTCTGAACTCCAGCTTCAGTCGTCGAAACTGGGGAAGACAGATTGACTTGGCAGCCAAAGTCCTTGCAGTATTGCGGCAGTCGTGGCTCACGAGGTGTGTTGGGACGACTGGTGGGAGGGTGAACACTAATGCTAGGGATTGCCAGGGGTGGAGGAGATGGAGTGCGGACAGGTGAGGGCGCGCGAACAGGCGGTGCGTCAGTCTGTGTGGACGATGTAATCATCACAGGCTTCTTCTCGACCGGCGGTTCCACTACTGGGGGTGGTGGTGGAGGAGGAGGGCGAGTAGGTGACTTTGGCGTCTTGGGAGGTGTCAAAGGCTCTTCCATTGTCTGGGCAGCGGCAGAGACCATGAGACGTCTAGGCGTCGGTGGTTCAATGCTGAGCGGACGGTTGATGTGGACTCGCTTTCGGCGTTGGTTTGCCTCGATTTCACCATCTGCCCGTGGCGAGCACTCAACTTCTGGTGACTTAGCGCGAACAGGAGGCTCTGGAGTAGCGGGCTTCGTGGGAGGGAGCTTGGGTGAGGGAGGCGGCGAGTACTGGATGCCCGTGTCGGTATACGAAACCTTGGGGGCCGTAGGGTGCTGTTCCTCCTCATCCTCGCCATCTTCGCCTTCCAGAGCTTCAAGCACTGCCTGGTTCTTGAAGAGTCTGCCACGTGCTACACTTCCCGGTCGTTTGATGCTCTCCAAGCTCTGGTTACGACCGTGTATGCGGTGCAGGACGCTATCGCGGCTGAAGTTGCGCACATGAAAAGACGTTGCGTGATTCGACATGGCACTCTCACGACCATCCAGATCGCTCATCTCATCTTCGTCGTCGTCAAAGTTAAGCTCATCAGCAAGCGAGTTGCCGTTCAGCTTCGCCATGCCAGGGCCGCTCATGATAGAAAACCGGACGCTGTTGGTCATGCTCATAGTCCTCACGCTTGCAGCATCGTTTTCTCGACCGCTTTCCTCAACTTCGCTCTCCTGGCCGTTGGCCGCATTGTTCATTTGAGCTTGTTGATAAGCCGCAACCTCGTCAAGAATGGTCTTCAAACGGCTTTCGGTAACGTGAATTCGGCGCTCGAATTTTCGTCTCTCATCTTCCCAGGCGTCCTTCTCCTGTGCCCAGAGTTCATGGACCCTTTGCGAGTCTTCCTCTTGGCTTCGGATCTTCTTTTGCGCGGCCTCAAGTCGTTTCCTGGTATCAGATACTGATTCAACTGCGTCATCTCTCTCTCGGGCCAGTTCACCCAAGGCAGATGATGTTCCGCCCTCAAGGAGCGATAGTTGGCGCTTGAGGGATCTGCTTTCCTTTCCTGTCTCGGTAAGATCTTGTCTCAACGTCTCCCTCTCCTCTTTGGCAGCATGAAGGGACGTCTCTAGAATCTCGATCTGTTTGAACTTTTCCTCCTGGTCTCTTCGAAGAGCCAATATCTCAGACACTAGATTGGCATGCAATGTGGGAGTGAATCGTCGAGGGTCAAGGATACTGATGGTCTCGTCTGTGGTGACGTCCCGAGATGAGCGTTTGGATGCCATGTCGCTTGGTAGAGGAGGAGGTGAGACTCCCTTTCCTGGTGGCGTGACTGAACGCCGGGATTTTCTTGATGTTCGTGAAGGTGTGCGATATGGTGTATCATGAGGCGTCGGCAGAGAGGTGGCAGCCGGGCCGCTGAGATACTCGTCGTCTGTCTCCCACACACCCATATTGAAGAAATAAATGCGGGTTCACGAGTTGAGTGTGAAGCAATTGATACTGATGGTCATCGGTTGACTCTCATGTAAAGTCGCTGGCGACGGGAGTGTCGGTCCAAACCCGCCAAGCTGGCTGCACTCGTCAATCCTCCAGTGCAAACCTGTGCACGTAACGCTGTTATTGAAGAAGGCCGTAAGTTATCACTCAGGGCTGATACAAGAGCCCAGGCGCTGTAAGACTCAATGTCAGCCACCGGGTCAAATAGGGGCATCAAACTATAACCACTTACATCGCGTAAGCTGAGTTTGAAATGAAAAAATGAGGTGAAAGTGAAGTAAAAAGTGACCTCTGTCGCATGAACAAGTTAGTCTCAGATGGTTTCTGATGTGTGAACTCGCCGCCATGGACGAATGGCAACGATCGGAGATGACGACGCACCTCGAGGAAAGAAAGATATTTTATATAAAGTACAAGGGACCCAGGTCAACGGTAGGCCCCGTGGCAAGTTAATGCGACAGATGTTTTGGTCGTGAAAAGGCTCCCGTCGATCGGAGGGGCGAAGACAAGGCCAATGCGTGGTGGCAAGCTGAGTTGTGGAGGTGGTCGTGTATAGAACTGGATGGAGCTTATAGGAGTCGGAACTGAAGCAAAGCTGGATGTCGCCGTCCACCAAGTCGTTATAGAATACGCAAAAACAATTCGCAAGCTGCAGCCAGGGACTAGTCAGCTAATCAAGCCTCGAGGCGAAGGAATGAACCGAGTCGAAGGACGCGCGGGAAGATCGTGAGGATCGCAAGATGCAGAGACATGGCCAACAGAAAGAAGAGGGTTGGGACTTGCGCCAGTGGAATCACGGTCCACGGGACGGCCCGGCTGAACGTACAATGAGAAACACAAAGCAATAGCGTCAAGTCCAACCTCGTCACTCACTCTTGCAATTACCAAGAGCGGAGTGTCATGACCTCAAGTAGAGGAGTTGACTGGACTGGATGGACAATGAGGGTAGTAAACGAAGGGCAGTTAGATGGATGTCGTGGGGTAGACGAGCGCAAAGCGGGAGAGCCGGACGAGCATCAAAAGCCAGCACCAGCACCGGCAAAAGCACCAATCCAGGGCTAAAGCGAAACAATCAAGGCAAGGAGAGGCGAGCGCGAAAGCAGGAAAAGGAGGAGAAGAGTCGTCTGAAGGACAAGACAATCAAGACAAGAATCTCGAGGGTCCAAGGACAGTGACGCGGGTGTGTCCCTCAGGTGCCAAAAAGTGATCGGAGCACACGCGGGCGCAGAAGACCAGGACCCTGTTAAGTATCCACTTTGTCGTGAGGCGTTCACCTGAGGGCCTCAACCACGCCAGGGTCTAGAGTGAAGAAGGCAAAGCCTTGCAGGTGAGAGCTCAGTTGACAGCGGCGAGCAAGCACGTCCAAGGTACGTACTGGTAGTGCTCTCGCGGCTGAGGAGACGACACCCAACATGGGGTTACGATAATGGCATGGGGGGCTTGTGGATTTGGAGCGGAAAGGGGAAAGGCGGGAGTGTTAGGCGACGGGAGGTGGAGCGAGGCCGGAGACCCGAGAAGACGGGCCTGGCTTTCTTTGATTAAGGGTCGACGAGGCTTGCTCACTTGGCTGACGATGGAAGATGGAGGGTGGCGGTCGCGGAGATGGGATGCTCTGTCTGTGGTAATGAATAGCAGGAGTCAGGGCCTGCCGGATGAGGCGTGTCGAAAGGGGGACGGCTGTCTGATATTCGCAGAGACGAGAGGCTGATGGTTGGATGTGAAGGTGTCTCATACCCCAACCCAAACACACGGCTCAAGAGCGGCCGAGAGAAGAACAATGCCAGCCAGCCAACGGCTCTCCATAAGCCTAATGCCAGCACCGGATTGGCTTGTCCTGTTTCCATCCTCGTCGACGACTTGGGACCATTCCTTTCCTCTTCTCCTTAGCCCAGTCGGCACCTCTCTGGATTCGACTCGCCCGAGGAGGGGTCTAGCTGGGCCTGGCCTAGCCGGCCAACCAAAAGGAAACTCATCTTGGCTAGTCGAATGTGAAAGTGATGGGGCAGGCCAGGGTCTGCAGTTGGTTGCAATTCAATTCCCTCTCGACATCCTGGCTCTCGGGAATGAGCCCCGCAGGCACCGCGAAAAGAGAGAAAAAAGTGATTTGTTGATGATTGTGCTCAAGTTGAAGAGATGCAGAAGAAGGTGGATGTTGAAACAACGTTAATTTAGTGGCCGCCCAGAAATGGAAAGTGAGGTGCACTGTAACCTTCCCAATCACCCGAGGGTGTGATGTGATGCCTGAGGCAGACGGCGAGGACAGGGAGAACCAGCAGGAACATTCTGCATTCATCCAGGAATCATCCATCAACAACTTCATCAGCTTGTTTCTCGGTGACGACCTCATACCCATCAACGGCCAAGCTGGAGCCCTGGGCAACCTATCTACGTACCGCACCCACTCGCTAAGCAAGCTAAAGAGCCCTCCCCGGGAAAGCTAATGCAGTCCCCAGGATCCCCTGTAGCGCCGCAATATCGGCCCTTGACGGTTCCTGGGATGGCCCTGGCCTCACTTCGAGTGATCGAATAGGAGGTCCAGGCTTTTCGTGCTCTTTTGGGACCTGCAATTTCCTCTCGATGATCCTCTCCTTGTGGGCATCGTATCCCAGACCTGGCCTTGAGAGCCATCCCCAAAGGGTCACGTTGGAGTTGGAGCTGTCGATGCGGGAGGAATCACCATCGTCAGATACGCCAGACACATGCCGCTTCCAACATGGGAGTTCCTTGCTTCTCCGCCCTCTTGCTTTTCCATCCTACAACGGTTTTCCACGGACCATGGCGTGATATGCCGACCACTGCAGTATTGACAAAAGTTGGAAGTGCACCGGCTCACTGATCTTGTGGCAAGCAGCGACGACCCAGAAGTGGGCTCCTGGCTACGTACGAGGCACGGAGTATTATTCCAGGCATCGACACGGCTGGGAAACTTCCGAAGACGCTTGGCAGAGCCGGCGACAGGTCCAACAGGTTGGGACTTGGTCCCTACTATAGCTCTGAGCAAGCAATGCACGTACCACTCTCGCCCAGGGGCGGTAGAATGGCTGCAGAAGCCTGATCTCGGGGATGCTACCGCGTACGTTGACGGATCGTCCTTGTCTCGGTTCCTCCTCAGCAGGCGAAGCTGTCAAAAAGCTTGCGGTAGTTGCCGGCAAGGCGAAGAGCCAGGGTTCAATGTCACCGTCAACGTCTACCAGGGCACCTCAACCGAGGCCGGCGACACCGAAGAGTTACAACAGCAATGCCACCCCGTTGCGTGGCTCCCGAAATACTCTCGAGTCCTCGTTCATAAGAGACGAGACGTTGCGCGGCTCTCAATAACAGCCACTCTATCACAGAGGTTGTCCAGACCACTCCGAGGGGGCTCGGCGCGCAAAGATGCTCGCCTGCACCCTGGCCAACATATGGCCCATGGACAAGAGCGAATGCACGGCAATGGCACATCCTGCACCTGTACATAAGTCCATGACCGGAGCTGTACCCCAGATGGCCGCTGCTCGAGCCCTTGCCGATGCTCCACTTGGAATGGATTCAGTTTGATTGTCAGCCCTCTCAGAGCAAGATTGCTCAGCCGGGATTATGCCTTGAGCACTCATGGCACTCGCGAGCGAGTCTCCTTATCCCCAAGAAAATGAGTTCTGATGATGCAAGACATATGCATGCTGCATCGATATCACTGACCTCTCTATTCCAGGCTTGGGGTCTTGACCCCTCGGCATCTCGTGCCTCGTATCATTTGGGCGTCAAGAGTTGACGACTGACGAAGTGATTGAGGCCTGAGAAACAAGCGAGCCCCATGACGGCAAAGATCAGCCATGCGAAAACTGCCGAGCTTCTTCTCCCCGCGCCTTATCGCCATCCCCTATGCATTATCGGTGATCTGGCTTACCCTGCCTCTCTCGGCCGCGTCTTCCTCACCAAAGCAAGCCACCCGTGACGGTCGGGGTCGGGAACAGATACGTGCGCTTCTTTGGAGCACGAACCAAGATCTTCCCCCTTCTACGCCAACGTCTGATTCTAATTGCAAACAGGGCACAATTTATCGTATGGATGACGCCCCAAACACGCAGTTGGAAATTAGTCCTGGTTGATTGCCTTGCTCCCGCTTCTCTGAAGAACCACCTTCATCAAAACCAGCCCCATTCATACTCACTAGTCGAAGCGCGGCCCGTGTTGGCCTCTACCAAGAAGCAATTCTGAGCAGTTGGCTCAAGATCCATAACGCAATCCTAGCCAAGGTAGCAAAAGCCAACCGCCAGAAGCGACTTGTGATGATGGACCTCGGACCTGCTTTGCCCGCCTTGTTTGCTACTTTACGAGCTCCACTGGGTCCGGCTGCCGACATGGATTTCGACGTCCTTCGCGTCCTTCGCGTCCTTCGCTTCCTTCTCGTTGGAAAGACACGATGTGACCTGCCAACATCTGAGAGATTCAGCCGAACTTCCTGCTCCGTTCCCTTCTCGGGCGAGTACTGCACTAGCCGATGGGTTCTTCGGCGCCGCTGGAGTGGTTCATGTCTTCGCGTCGCCTCGTGGCCCATGCTCGATGCTAATGCCCAATGCTTGCTCTCATTGCCACATGAAACGTGTGGCTTCATTGACGGATCACGGATTCTTTCCCAATCGGCCACTAGCTCCCTGTTCGGCATTTGTGTCTACGGCTGAAAAGGAGAGGTTTAATGTTGGTTGAAGACAACCCACACCTAGCCTTGTTTCGACTTGCTTGTTTCTCTTAAACATATGCCCCACTGTGTTTCTCACGAACGTCAGCTGCTTTCATCATCACTTGTTGGGACGTTTCCGAGAGGTCGGAAGGGATAAGTCCGTCACTCAGCTTGTCGAACGACCTGTCAAGTCGAGTTGGTTGATCCCTGCAGCAAGTCCAACCCTATTAATTTCACAAGTATGTGAAACATCCAAGTTACGTTGTAGAAAAAGCAATAACGGGAAAGGCACGTTTCGAGCTACCCAAGAAGGATCTCGTCACCCTATCCGACTCCCCCGGCTCCAGGGAGCATCGTGCTTATTTCTCCGGCTCTTGTTTGCTGCTCGGGATGGTCATGTGGTAGAAACGATACGCTTGACTTCTTACGAGCTGCATATACAACGTAGTTATCGTGATCCACACATCCCCTTGCATCGTCGATGATACGTATCGAGAAGTGTACGGAAACTCGGTGTTAACTTTGACGTTTCTGGATAGAAAAAGCAAAGGCAGGATGGGGTACTGCGGAGTATTATTTACTTTGTCGCTTGGGGCTCTCAACGACCAAGATCCCAACATCAGGCGGTGTTGACCGTCCTCCTGCGCCAATGGTGTGTTAACCCACTGGCACTGGAACAGCATGACGGCTGATGCAGGGCGAGTGGGAATTGGGGGCTTCTGGGGTTCCATGTATGCTCAATTCCAAATGCCCATCTTGACTATCATGGTTATTCTCATGTCAACCAGACAGCGTTGACTCAGGGGCCAAATCACATCCCACAACTCCCAATTACAACCCATGAACAATTCATAACTGCGATACCAAAAATTGAGCATACAACTCAACCAAGGCAATTCGAAGTTGTTGAGGCTGGACAATGACCGTTCGGAACAACATGCCACAGTGTGCCATACGACCAGCCGCACCTGTATCCCTCGCCTCACTTCAAGTCGTCGAACAAGCAAAGTTTGACCAAGCCACCAGAGAATTGACCTGCCTGGCACAGGCTAGTATCAAAATTCTTGCTTCTGCGATGCTCCACACGAAAACGGCGTGATGCAGCGGCCGGCTAGCTCACAACTGTCACTGCGTGTGTATGTATGCAAAGTCGATCTCAGTCCCACAGTCAGCCACCCTGACATTGCCGGCAGGAGTCTTGTGAGCGCACAGAGCGGGATGATGTTTTTCTTTGCCAGCGGTGACTGAGGCGAGAACATCGGGTGTGGGGGGTGATCCTCCGAATCGTGCTTTATCCGTAACTGACGCCTCACCGAATCACGCCTTTGATAGGGTCCTTCCAAGGGCCGCAGAGGCATCCTTCGATAGGCGGTGTATCAGATCATCATCCTCAATGCCCGTCCTCTGCATCATGTCGGCGCTTACGGGGGAAAAGTGCCGGCCGCCTTCTGCTTCCACCTCGTGGTGATGCAGTATGCGACCTGACCTGCGGCCGCGGGCCTAGCGTCCACGGCGGAGCGACTTGCGTCTTCAAAGACGAGAGTCGAGACAGAACTGCCACTCGGGTTTCCTCCGGGGACTCATCCTGCGGGCGCCGTCTCAGTCAGATTGCCGCTCGAGGCGCCGGACCTTGTGTTCTACCCATATCGGATACTTGTTAAGACTCTCAAACCACTGTACCGCGCTCCCGATCTGCAATCATTAGCCGGTCCATGTCTTCGTAGGGAGCGTAGGGAAACGTACCAAGAATGCCCATGAGCCTATAAACGTCGACAATGTCAACGCATACTCAACTCCTGGCTGGTTCATGCCAAAACCCAACGCCCCGCAGAGCGTGAAGCCGATAGCCCCTATCAAGTTCCATAGCCCAATGTGCCATCCGAGGACTCCTGGCGCGGGGATATACCAGCGAGGCTGGACCTCGAGCATGAATAGTGCGCTCGAGACGATAAAGCCCGTGCCGCCGACGACCTGCGGGAGCCAGTAGACACCGTTGAGGGCCGGCGTGGAAAGGTTCTTGAGGATAGGTGGCAGTGCCGTGAAGCCTGATATCCAGAATACGGTGGCACCAAACATTTGTGAGGAGCAGGCGAGGAAGCCTATCTCGCGAAAGTAGTGTGTCCTCAGCTCGTACCAGGTTGGCCACCAAGACCACATACGCCCATCTTCTGACGAACTCTCGTCCACTTGATGCTGGCTGATACACTTGCCGGCGACAAAGGTTCTCTTCTGGGCATGCGAGTGCCTGCATTCATGGACAGTCTTGAGGTGAAGGACTCCGTCTACACTCTCTTCGACAGCCCAGCCAAAACAGTCTGAACGGTTCTCGTTGACGGCTTCGAGCATGAGAAGTACTGAGCCAACCTCGAAGACTGTAGCTCCGACGAGAGCTGTCAGCCCAGCTGCCCAGTCGGTCTCGCCTTTGAACTCTGTCGAAGGGTCTTGTACGGGTAGCCAAGAGAAGAATCCATTGACGACCCAGATGACAGAACCTGTACCTGTTTAGATATCAAGATGTCAGATGTCAGTGTTGGCTCATACCTATGGTAAAGATGACGGCGACATCATAAGACACGTCCCAGACAGGGTATCTCAGAAACATCTTTGCAATGCCTCTCAGGGTCCGGTTTGGTGTATTTGTCGGCTTCGGGCTCTGGGTCTTTTCATGTTTGTGAGGATCGACATCGACGGCCAGCGCATGTCGTCCCTTTCTGTTATCTCGACTTCTCCAGACATACGCAACCTTGGGAACTTGGCCACTCGTGGGTAGTTGGTCTCTTTCGACCTCAGGCGCCGTAACCTGTCTCTTTCCTGCCACCATGTACCGTTTCGTCGGATTGAAAAACTTGAAAGGGCCGGCGCTATGCTCCGCGTCATAGTGACGCCCAACGAAGTGGTCCTGTGGTCGTTTCATGGTGACGGGATTGCCTGTGAGTTGGAAGTAATGCTGAAGGACTGGATGAATGTGAGTCTCGGGGTATGTCCTCTTTTCTAGTCAATGGACGTAGCCTGAAGAGACAATGTCAAAGCGAATGTTCCGGGGGGGGGGCGACAACAAATGCTCTGATGTTTTGGCTTATACGCCGCTAAGCAAGGAATGAGTTGCCGTTATCCGATATGACGAGGCTAGGTACGCGGTAAGCCTCAACGTCCATTTCAGGCGAGACGATTACCTTGTCAAAATGACGACATTCTCTTCACATTAAAAACACATCATGAAAATTTCAGCTGAAGCTGAGGTGAAAGGCTGGGACAAAGTCAATTGTATATGGCTTTGTCATCGTGCGCCGGAATTGGGACATCTCGGCTACCCTAGACACAAGCATCTGAAACAAGGTGATTGACCATCGACAAAGACCTCATCCACAATCATCTCAACCCAACAAACGTGGTGTTTGCTTATCAGTAATCATTCGGATACTGTCCGATTGATCTCCTCTCCTCTGGCCATAACCGAGGTCGTCTCTGCCCCGAGTCCACGTCGTATCGTCATTAGAAGGGCGTAGAGCATCATGTGACGCATGTTGAACTACCTACTTCATTGCGCAATCATCAATCGGCCAACAACCGAAGAGCAACATACTCCTCATAAGAAACACATCGAGAAGAAACCCCTGATCAAATACATCAATAACAATGTCACCGGGAGCCATCTCACCACTTAGTAAGGTGAAAGCCCTTACAATTGACGTCTTCGGCACCGTCGTCGACTGGCGTTCATCTGTCACTGAGGAACTCACCTTGAGAGCTCATCGGAAGCTATCTTCTGACCTCCCTCAACCTCTCAAATCTCGCCTAGAAGAACTCAAAGAAGATGATTGGGGCCGCTTTGCCCAGGAGTGGCGAAACTCCTATAGCAAGTTCACACTTGGCTACGACCAGAAGAAAGACTCATGGAAGAGCATCGACCAGCATCACCACGATAGCCTCGTCGACCTTCTAGAGAGCTGGAATCTGACTGGCCTATTCAGCCCCTCCGAGATCGAATCCCTCAGCCTCGTCTGGCATCGCTTGACACCGTGGCCCGACTCATCGGACGGAATCCGAGAGCTGGGCAAGACATACAAGACCAGCACACTCTCCAACGGCAACCTCGCCCTGCTCGGGGACCTCAACGACTTTGGAAACCTGGGCTTCCACGGGCTCCTCTCAGCCGAAAACTTCAAGACGTACAAGCCAGACCCGGCCGTCTACCTCGGCGCGGCGCGGGAGCTGGGTGTCGAGCCGCACGAGGTCGCCATGGTGGCGACCCACCTCAACGACCTCGCCGGCGCGAGGGCATGTGGCTTGAGGACTGTATACGTGGAGCGTCCAGAGGAAGAGGCATGGGCCAAGGACGACGAGAGGTATCAGCAAGCCAAGGACTGGGTCGACCTCTGGATCACGGAGGAGGAGGAGGGCTTCCTGACCCTTGCCCGTAAGCTCAAGGAGCTAGCCTGAGGTGTGTGTGTTGTCCAGGACAAAGAATCGGCAGAGAAATATAGTTGAACAGGGGAGGGTCCCAATGCCCAGGCTGGTACCTACATGATTGGTAAACTGTGGCTGTATGCGAGTTGGTGAGCGAGTGCCTTAGTTGATAGACCAGGCGTATATTGTGCGTCGGAGCTTCTTCTCGTGCAGCAAGTCAGATATTAGTCGGAGCCTCTCGGCGAGGTTCGGCCGAATGGATTGTTGTGTCTTTTTTTCCTTGTCGTGTTCCGAGGCCATCAACGGCATTGTGTGTGGTTCAAGATAGTCTTTCCGTATACACCACCAGATGCATCTGCTCACAACACCAACAAGACTAGCAATGACATGTGCTACTGCTAACGAACCCCATAATTACTTGTGAAAGTGTCAAGGGTTGCTGGCTCGGTCACAAAGCCGATGCGGGCGATGCATCAGAGATGTGACCTCGAGCGCACCGGCCCGAAGGCTTGCAACTCAAGTGACATGAAGTCCATGAGGATCTTCAACAAGGCAGACAGACACACAAGGCCCCTCAGACCCCAGAAGCACACTAGCCAGCCGTCTGGAAAAGCCATGGGTTGCATTGGCAGGGGGAAGGGGGGGGGGGGGGGGGAAACAAGACTCGGGTCTCGCTCAAAGGCACATTGAAGAAAAAGCCATGGCCTTTCCCCGGACCAAGTGAAGAGGGTGTGGAGTATGCGACTCTAGATGCAGCCGTTGGGAATGAGGCACGCTGTGGGTGAGGCAATTTAAGATATCCCATCTGTAGGAAGACACGGAAGAGAGAAAGAGTGTGTGTACCTGAAGAGACCGACAAGTGCGGAAGCCGTTGAATGTCTTCGACCAACCACGGAACCAAGTGGTCGACAAAGTGTGTCCGTGCCAGACTAACAAGTTAAGCCTGTCTTTAACGTAATGCTCACGCGACATTAGAGTCTTATTTCTCTGACTGATGAAAATACAAAGCGTCTTGTTCAACTCTGCGCCAACAGCCCGCTAATCTCACGACTGAAATAAAACAGCTGCCTGTAAAGTACAAGTTGCTGCCAGCGGCGTCATGGGACGTATCAGCCGTAGGCCCGTAGGAAGAAGGGCATGCATATGCTCAACAGCAACCCATCTCGTTCATTCCCCCGCAAAAACCTGGGAACCCCAGACAAGAAAACCCCAGAGGCCCAACTGGCCGGGCTCACCGGATAGCACATCCCCCATTTTGGGATCCCGGGTGTTTTTAAAAGGAGCGAAGTGGTCGGTTCAAGAGGCATTTAGGGCCGAAAGACGGGTTTTTGTTCCCACAAACCCCCGAAGTTTTTAATGGGGTTTTGAAAACCAACCAATTAGCCGCCTACTTCCCCCCCAAAAGGGGGGGGGGGGGGGGGGGGGGCAAGGAAGAAAAAAGTCTGGGGAAAAAAAGACGTCAAGATTACCCCATGGGCGCGCACGCCGTGGACCGAGGATACGACCGAGAAGTAAGTCTCTTCATGGTTGATTTAGGCTTGGGAAAGCTTTTCATGACGTGGTTAGACCATGATATTGTATCTAACTTGGACAGGCAGAGCGTGCCCGTTGGAGGGACGGAGGAGGATCCATGGATGGGATGTCAATCGGTCCTATAAGGCCGGGGTGCGTGTTAAGGGCCTTGGTAGCTCCATTAAGCTCCGAGCTGAAGAGTCCAGGAGTCAAGCAGAAGCTGGAGATTCCTAACGTTAAAGTATGACATCAGGAAAGAACGAAGGAATATTCCCGCATAATCAGCATCATGCTATTCTGCGCTGTCCTGGAGGCATTTTCCCAATCCATGTTCAAAACCGGTTGGTCGTCAAGTTTGGAGGTTGTACCTATGTACTGTGATTTAGTAGGTTTGGACGTTGACGTTTTGGTGTGGGGTAAAATGGGGCCGCTGGCCCGGCTGGACCTGCATCGAATCCAATCCAATCCATCCCAAATATACCCGACCTGGCCAACGGGTGTCACCAAACGATGAATAGTAATATCCAGCTCGTGGAAAAGGGGACTTGAAGAACAAGACAAGATACCTGGAAGACATGTACCTGGCACGTGTGTCTGTACAACTCACTGGCTCATTGATGTCACTGCGGGGTGTCAGACACGACAAGATCCAAGCAGTCGACACAAACGCGTTCGGGGTTACGTCGAGGGGGACGGTTCGCATGACGGTTTGATCCAATGCTGGGATCATGCCTGGAACTCTCTTCTGATCTTGCTCCATGAGGCTATCGGGTTGCTCGACTCTTACGTGTCTGCGGGGATTGGCCACCACCAGCACGGGCAATTCTTTCATGACCCAATGCTTAGAGCATGGCAAACAGGCAGGTCCAAGACAAGTCAGCTAGCTAGCACGAGAGCTATGATGCACCCCGAGGATCCTGAGGCTCACCAGCCCCCGGCGGTGCCAGCCGCTGTGCAGGCGCACGGCAGGGTCAAGGTCTGGGCCGCCGGCCGACGAGCATGGGCAGACGACTGGAGTGACGAGACCAGATAGACGCCCGCGGGCGGGTATGCGGGTGAAGCACGGAGCAATAGGACCCGTGCGGTGCGGTGCGTGCCTGTGATGGTCTCCCGTCGAGTCTCTATCCGACTGACTCTGTGTATCCAACCCGCTCGTCGGAGTGACGGATGGTGGCCGGCCCATTACAGCACTGCCACCTCCCAGAATGTCGCACAACGACTCGTGGCCAGGCGGCTGCCGTCTCCATCTTGTTTCGGGGCAGAGCCAGAGGCCGGGGCGAGCTTCAGGGAGAGACAGCAAAGAAAAGCAGGGTCCCTACCGAGACGGGCAAGGCGGCGCCCCATGTAGCGTACGACGTGGGATAGGTCTGCTAGGCAGTCGTGTTTTCGGGATATTATGCGGTGGACTGACTTGGTAGATGGTGCCAAGCAGAGGGTATCAAGTAAACCGGGCTTCCTATTTGCAGTACAGTGCAATGCAGCGCAGCCCCCGTCGTGTGGTTGTGCGTGCCCGTGGGGGATCGTGAAAGTGAAAAGCCTCCTTTTTGCGCCACCTTGGAGAGAGGCCAGAGCAGGGAGGGTCCTGGTCAGGGATCCAACCATGCACTCACGATTCAACTGTCATTATCTTGAAATCGGCCCCCGGGAAGCCGTTTCGTCCATAGAGACCAAGCAACGACATCACGGAGGCTGTCCTGTGCTTCCTCTTTGGCCAAACCGGACCCAGCTGACTCGGTCGACCGAATTGGAATGGGACGCTCAACGCCGAAGCATCTTGATGCTGACCCTCAAACTCACCCTCATCCGCCGGGCGAGACCAGGACCGAGGGGAGAGAAGAAGGAGGCGGCGGCGTCGTCGACAGCGATCCATGGCTCCATCTTTGGGGTTGCGCCGTGTCATTAAAACGGGACAAGCCTTTTTCTTTGCCCGCCCCCTCAGGCCGGGTTCGGCTGGTGCCCAACGTTCCAGCCTCTCTCCAACCTCGGATTTTTTGG